CTGGGAGACATAGGGGCACTAGTGGATACAGACATGGGGACACTGGAAGACATGGAGACACTGATACATTTGGGGACACTGGGAGAAATGGGACCACAGACACTAGGGACACAGATACTGGGAGACATGGGGTCACAGACATTTGGGGAAACTAAGACACTAGGGACACAGAGACATGGGAACACAGACACTGGGAGACATAGTTACACTGAGAAACTAGGGACACTGGCTGGGAGGCATTGGGACACAGACACTTGGGGACACTGGGAGACATGGGGGCACTTGTGGTCATAGACATGGGGGACACTAGGAGACATGGGAACACAGACATTTGGGGACACTGGGAGACATGTGGACACTAGGGACACAGAGACATGGGGACACAGACACTTGTAGACATGGGGTCACAGACACTAGGGACACAGAGACATGGGGACACAGACACTGGGAGACATAGGGACACTTGGAGACATGGGGACACTGAGACACTAGGGACACTGGCTGGGAGACATGGAGACACAGACATTTGGGGACACTGGGAGACATGGGGACACTGGGACACAGGCACTGGGAGCCATGGGGACACTGGGAGCCATGGAGACACCGTGTCCCTGGTGTCTCTGTGTCCCAATGTGTCTACCTATGTCTAACAGTGTCCCCATGTGTCACAACGTCCGCATGTCTCACAGTGTCCCCTAGTGTCTGTGTCCCCATGTTTCCCAGTGTGCCCTACTGTCTCAGTGTCCCCTAGTGTCTCAGTATACCCATGTCTCCCTGCAACCCTTCCCCCATCTTTCACATACCTGAGCTGAAATCTGTCTCTGCAGGCTTGGAGCTGCTGTCTGGACTCTCTGTGCTGTGTAGATGCTCCCCCGCGGATCAGTATTTAGAGAGAGGCAGGGAGATGCTGTAACTTCCTATCCCTGCCTCTCTCCATACACAGTGACCCCTACTGGCCGGTGCTGGTATTACAGAGTGATCTCCATTTATACTGAGAAAAATATTTGCATTTGTATTGCCGGTATTACTGCAATACCGTCACGGCCAGGCAGCCTCAAATACTGGTTGTGCCTTAAAATACCAGTCAGGTGGCAAACCTAAGAGTAGTGCGTTAAAAAAAAAAAAAAGAAGAAAAAAATGTTTTTTTTTTTATTTATTTTTTTTATATGGGCCTATTCCATGGGCCTGGGCTTGGGCCTGGGCCTGGGCCTGGGCCTGGGCTTGGAGCTGCAGCTCCATCAGCCCCTATGTTAATCCGGCCCTGGCTGAAGGAGCTGATTGTTAATCTCAGCTGAAAACGCAGACACTGAAAAAGGAAGGGTTGCTGTTTAAAACAGCAAAGAAACCCTGACAGATGGTTAGAAGGTTGCTTGGTCTGAATCACATTTTCTTTTAGATCAGGTGGATGGCCAGATTCGTGTGGATGTTACTTTGACATGTGCCAACTAACTAGAGATTGTTGCAGACCATGTACACCCCATCATACCAATGGTGTACCCTGGTAGCAGTGGCCTCTTTCAGCAGGATAATGCACACTGCCACACTGCAAATAAAAATTCAGGAATGGTTTGAGGAACATGACAAAGAGTTCAAGGTGTTGCCTTGGAGTCTAGATTGCCCAGATGTCAATCAGGTTGATCATCTGTGGGAACAACAAATCTGATCCGTGGAGGCCTCACCTCGCAATTTACAGGACTTTAAGGATCTGCTGCTAATGTCTTTCTGCCTGACAAATCAATTAAGTGACCCTCTTTCCCTTGTATGCAGACTGAGTGGTGGCCTTGGCAATTTTTCTAACATTTTATAGTTGGGAACAGATTGTGATGTGATTTCCACTCCTGGTAAGGCATAACTGTCCCTTGCTCCTCAGGGGAGCACTTACCCTGGTGCTCCACCCAAGCCACCATGATCCGTCATTGGCTTGGAGTGTTCCTGTAATCCTTATACTGAAGAGTTTTATGGGACATGTAGTTAAGCACTTGGCTAGAGTTCCAACTTAAAGTAGCCCCATTGTAATTGCTATTAGATCACGCATATGGCTCAGTTTTATGAGTGAAGCTACAGACACAACTACTTGATTCTGACTCTAGCACCTTCACATATTTTGTATATTTATAAGACATGTATGGCATATGCAGGGCGTACAGATTCTCGGTTAGGAAAAAGGAAGCATAAGCTTCCTAGTGTGATGTTTTACAGTAAAGATGTGGGTTTATAGGGACGGCAATTTTTCTATTTTTAAGTAACCTACATGCAAGGAAAAAGAAGATTAGGTTGTTCTTTTGCTTCCAGTATCTTTTTAATCGTAATCACATTTTATACTTTGAATTTTTCACATTTTAGCAAAAATCTTATCCCAGCACTGCGATGCTGGTTTAACCCATACAGCTCTGCATTTAATAAGGGGTTTATTCTGTTTTAGAATAGAATCCTTAAATAACAGATTGTTATGACCATCATCGGTTCTCAAGTGGTTAAATTAAAGTATTACAGAATGTTGAACCTGAATTGTACTAAGAAAATAGAACTGGTGCAATCAGGATACAGCCTGCAGTCTCTTAAAATATGAAAGGAAGAAATCCATAGATACTTACTGAGAAAAACAAGACAAGAATGCAGAGAGAGTGTATATAATATGGTTTTATTTTCCATTAGAGACCGCACATGTAGAGCAGTCACACAAATGGCTTTGCAATGCTTTTCGAACAATAATGGACATAAAAGGTCACTGTAAAAACTTGAACACTTAATTTTAATATAGTGGTTATTTATATATATATATATATATATATATATATATATATATATATATATAAATAGATTGCAGGACTAAGGGAAATAGAGACACTGTACCCAGTACCTAGACCACAATGAGCTGAAGGTGTTTGGGTGCCTATAGTGTCCCTTTAATGCACGTGCCATCTCTGCAATTAATTTAATTTCTAAATTTAAAAATCATACTTATTTCTACTAATTTGAAAATTCCACATGCTTCATTACTTATATTGAGTCTGCTCCAATCAATAGCTTCTTGTAGAAAAGCATTGTGGACTCTAGGGGCATGCGCAGCACTTGCCACGATTGGCCAATCAGTTTCTCCCTGTGACTACCAGGCAGAGTGCATTAGCTCAGTTCTAATAATAGCAGCATACAGTGATCATCCACAACATTAAACCAATAACAGATGAAGTGAATAACATTTATTTTATTGTTACAATGTCACCTGTCAAAAAGTGGGATATATTACGCATTAAGTGAACAGTTAGTTCTTAAATTTCATGTGTTTGAAGCGGAAAAAAATAGGCAAGCTTAAAGATCTGAGTGACTTTTACAAGGGCAAATAATAATTGCTAGACAACAAGGTCATAGCACCTCCAAAATGGCAAGTCTTGTGGGTTGTTTCCGGAATGCAGTGGTTAGTACTTACAAAAAATGTTACAAGGGAGGACAACTGTTGAACCAGTGTCAGGGTCATGGGCATTCAAGGCTCATTGATACACGTGAGGAGCAAAGGCTAGCCTGTTTGGTCTGATCATACAGAAGAGCTACTGTAGCTCAAATTGCTGAAAAATGTAATCCTGGCCATGAGAGAAAGATTTCAGGATACACAATGCATTGGTTTTCTGCGTATGGTACTGCATAGCCACAGACCAGTTAGAGTGCCCGTTATAACCCTTTTCCAGCACCGAAAGTGCATTCAATGGGGTTGTGAGCATCATGTGCTCAGCAGGGGTTAAATCGGACTGATACTTAATGACATCAATAATAGTAAACAATGTAACCATCATATAAATACATAATAATAAATGAAAACCCAGACTCAGAACTGTTGCAGAAAAGTCAGTGGTCTTTTATTTAGTTTGAAATTAATACAACCAATACTTAATAACTTTATAACCAAACCATCTCCGGTCTTTAATCCCCCAGAGCATTAATCAAAAATCTCCGGTCTTTAAACCCCCAGAGAATTAAAACATAACTCACCAGAGTTCCGCCCTATTAGCCAGAACTTCAACCAAATGATCATAAACTCAGCTAGTCCACCTCCCTTTAAATTAGGCAAGTGACCTCAACCCCAATACAAAAACCACGACAAATGAATAGGGAGGGAGGGTGAGAAAAACAGCTCCAAGAAGGTAAGTTCTTCTTTCTTCACAAATTCTTCTCTCTTCTGGCACCAAAAACTCACCTCAGGGCTCCTTATATATTCTATTTTTGCGCCAAAGAGTATCCTCGCGGACAAGTGCTCCAATTAGAGCACTGTCTGCGCAGACCCTTGGTTGAAAGATGCATGAGGGCACAGCAACAGCTGTTGCTAAATGCCCTCGCGGTCAGAGCTAATCGCGCCGCGATCTGACCTCCTGTTAACCACGCGACGTACATGTGTACCTAGTCTATGGACTAGGTACATTCTGAACTGGACCATGGAGCACTGGAAGGTTGCCTGGTCTAATGAATCACGCTTTGTTGTAGAGCAGGTGGATGGACGAGTGCGTTTTTTACCTGGGGAAGATAATGCAGCAGGACGCACTACGGGAAGACAGTGTTGGAGGCAGTGTTATACTCGGTTAGTGTTTTGCTGGGAAATATTGGGATCTGGAATTGATGTAGATTTTACTTTCACGCAGTCTCAGAATGCATAGAATGCAGGGTAATAATATCCATGAGGCCAGTGCAAACCTGGAGCATTGGGAAAACAGGACACCAACCAATCCAACACAGTGCAGGACTAGAAAAGTCCCCATAGAACTCCTGCCTAAAGTGTACAAACAGACATTGCACTAATGGTGGCACATTTCATGCTATAGTGGCTCTAGTAATCTCATTTCACCCTAAAATCACAGAATTAAATCTCCCAAGGCTGATTACAAATAACAAGTTCTTAGGTGACTTTATCCACCATTTCTTTGTCCAATAACCCCACTGTCCCCTGTGTGTCTCTATAACACTTAGATTAATGCCAAGGACACACAGGAGCAGTAGGGATACAGTGGGAGGAGCCGGGGGAGGCGGTCACATGGCACCGGCGACCCGCACACTCTGCACAGTCTCTTCCGGGGCGCCAAGTGAACTCGCCGGCTGTCTGTGTACTCAGTCCCCCTGCCTGCAGCGGCCGGAGCGGGGCCCCAGCCAAGCGGCTCTGTCAGGTCAGTGCAGGGGAAGGGCCTAGCATTGCTCTGGGAGATCCTGCATGCATGGTGGGGATGGTGTGAGTGTCTGCAGGCGGGGATCCTACTTACCGTGAATGCAACATCTGGAAGGTAGAACGTACATTCTATCCAGTTACATTGTATCAGTTCATTCAGCGCTGATCACACTGGCTGCAGGCAGTGCCTCCATTCTATCCAGTTACATTGTATCAGTTCAGTCAGCGCTGATCACACTGGCTGCAGGCAGTGCCTCCATTCTATCCAGTTACATTGTATCAGTTCAGTCAGCGCTGATCACACTGGCTGCAGGCAGTGCCTCCATTCTATCCAGTTACATTGTATCAGTTCAGTCAGCGCTGATCACACTGGCTGCAGGCAGTGCCTCCATGCCTTACAGTTATATTGTATTAGTTCATTCAGTGCTGATCACACTGCCTGGCCAGATTGGTGGGTTGGAGCAGTGAGAGGAACAAAAGGGGCACATTTAGGGAGATGCACAAGATTTAATGGACACAGGGAGCTTGTTCAGGCTGTCTGAACAGGAAAAGTGCTTCCCCTGCAAAATGCATTTGTTGCAGAATGTAATCCAATGAAATCCTGGAGGCAGTCCTATTGGGATTTCTCTCTGGTTAAATGAGAAGTGTATGAATGCTTCATACTGAATGACTCTTTGTGTGCTGCTCATCATTATGAAGGAAGTTGTGTGTCTGTGATGGTGTGTCTGTTGGTAACCGTGGACACAGACTTTCAACATCATTATAAGGGGGTGGTGCATACAGTAAGGACACCAATTGTGCCTTGCAACCCTTTATTGTAGATATTTTCAGTTCAGTGTTAATGCACGTGTTAAGAGTGACCCTACTAATCCTGTCCTTTATCAAGGACTCTGCAGGGGGTCATGACCCCCAAAGTGCCACTTTCCATTTAACATCACATGACTGTATACAATGCACTGCATTAGCTAGGTGGCTGGTGTATTCCTTCCATTGTCAGGGCAGGCATGCATTCCCAATGGATCTATAGATCCCCATCCCTACCCAGGCTATTAGGGACACACACTGCACAGCTTGCTGTATTCCTGAATGGAGTGTAGTTGTTGTATTTCCATTACTGTGAGTGCCCAGGCCAGCTATAAGGATTGTTACAGCTCTGATATATTGTGTATATGGAAACACTTGTATGATCTCCCCCACAGCCATGTCTAGCTGGAGATATAACTCTATCCTGTGCCCCTGTATCTATTGCAGGCAGCTCCTTCTCCCAGCATGCTCAGCCATGACTGGAATAGACCCCCGTGCAGTGCATGCTGGGCTCCTGCTGCCCCCCATGCCTTTATTTGGAAGTCTCTGTTTGCCAGCTGTGTGATGAATGAGCCCTGCAGTGATTGACAAGTCCCGGCAGCCAATCACCTTCCTGCCGCGTTGTCCGGTTTTAAAAATAGAATGAGAGTAGCGGGCTGTCAGTGGGAGGGGGCGTGTCTCTGGGCGTCACACCGCCCTCTTTGTGGGCCCGCTGTAAGGAGACTGTGGCCGCGTACTCTTGGTTTGCCCTTGAGGCGGTGACGTCACGCCGCCGTCGCTAAGCAACGGAGAAGCGACATAGGAAGCGCTTCTTGGAGTTGCACAGGCCTAGGTCAAACTATTCAATGTCTGTAGGGCAGAGTGACTACAGTCTCCCTATAGGTCACATTGCTCATTATTGCACCTTCTCTATTTAGTTTCTTTAACACTCACTCTCTATTGTTAGTAAATTACAGTGTGAGAAATTATTGTTATTTTTGCAAGTTGTGTTCCTATTCTGTAAATCACATTCACCTCCAAGGCAAGCTAGCACTGTGGAAAGCGGAAACCAATGTACTTTTTACATGGAGAAACAATTCAGTGATAACAAATAAAAAAACAAAAAACAAACTAAAATATATAAACTTTGAGTAACGCTGTATGTGCTCATTGCCAGGCAACTGGAAAGGGAATGTTAATTAAAAATGAGTGAGAATTGTAAAAAATACACAGCACAACCCATAGCTAACTTTTAGTTTGCTATCACTGTTACGTATAGTTGCGTTAATGAAGACATGCGTCCATTAAGTTCAGCCTTTCTAACATCTGTTTTTGCTGTTGATCCAAAAGAAGGCAAAAAACACAGTTTGAAGCTCTTACAATTTTGAACAAAATATTCCTTCTTGTGCCCAGAATAGACGTCAAATTTGTTTCAACATATGGATAACTTTTTTTTTTTTTTTTCTTAAGTTTACTATCCGCCTAAATCTCAAGTGATGGTACAGCTTTAATGGGATCCTATAGTGCCATGAAAACAAAGCCGTTTTCCTGGCAATATAAAGGTAGGTTCCCCCTGCGTCGCACTCCCCCCTCCCGTGGGGCTGACAGGGTTAAAACCCCTTCAGCCACTTACATAAATCCAGCGCCGATGTCCTTCAGTGCTGGGTCAGGCTCCACCCATGCTGCTTGGCGGGGGAGACCTAATGCACATATGCGGCAATGGGGAAAATCTGAGGGTGAGGGCATCCAGCGTCAGATAACGGACCAAAAGTCCGTTTGGATTATGGAAGCCCTCTGGTGGTTGTCTGGTAGACAGCCACTGAGGGCGGACTTAGAGCTGCAGTGTAAACATTGCCGTTCTCTGGAACGGCAATGTTTTACATTGCAGCACTAAGTGTAAAAGGGTCACAGCACCTAAACCACTTTACTTCAGTGAGCTGAAGTTGCCTGGGATCCTACAGTGGCCCTTTAAGGGGATATTCTGCGTTTGGGGTGCAAGTAATATTAACATGTAAAAAGTGCTTTTGTTTTTCTTTTCTAAGGCTAGTGCCTATACTCAGCACACAGAACTCTTGTAGTGTACAATACAATGGTAAAAATCCTATTACCATATGTGTAGAAAACCACTGGTTCCACAGCTGCTCTTGTACCATACGAAGTATTGGTGATGAGATAATCTAATAGCTATACAAATTTGGGTTTAGGGAACTATTTGCAGCTTAAAGTAGATATCTCCTGAACTTATATCAATTTAAAACCATGACACGTTAAACAGAAACCCTTTTCCATGGATATTTGAAGCTTAAAGGGATTCTCCAGGGTAGAGTTAACCCAACTTGAAAATGGGCTAAAAAATAAAATTAAATATTTGCTTTTGAAGTTGATACTTCAAAAATCCTAGGGATTGCAGCTTCATTACCTGAACTATGCCATAGCTATAACGTGATTGACAACTACTGCCAATCCAAGCAGCTCTATTGTTTTAGTGAGATGTCTTATAAAGCCATGCCCAGCACCAGCAGGTGATTCTCAGATGTGTAGTTAAGCACTTTGCTGCAGAAATTATATTGTACTACTGTTTACGCTGCTCTTAGCTTATGAATATCACCATATACCTGGTATTGTGAATAGATAGTGGGGTTGCAGCTGCAGCATTTTTTTTTTTTTTGATTTACAAATCTATACAGGAATAGAGGGGACCCTTTGCATTACAACCTATTCAAAGATAATAGAGAATACCTTGGGTATGGTGATAGGATTATCATTTTATAGTAAGAAACTTACATTGCTTGATATACATACTGGAAGTTGTTCAGTTGGATGTTGCTGGAAAGAGAAATTGACAAGGAAATTTCAAAATATAGCTTGTGGCTAAACCAACCTTGCCACTGGGCATTGGAGAAGCCTGTTTGCCCGTCTGCTGACTATGGCCCCTGGGAGATTTGGCCCTTTAAATACAGTATTTGGGCATATTGTATTTTATTATGCTGCTGCTGACTCTTTAAGAACCATCTGGGGACTTACTGTGACTTTTGGGAACAATGCCCCTTTAAGACTATTTTAGCAGATTGGATTTTAAAAGACTTGCTGCCCCTTTAAATTGTATTGGAGCAGTTCTGCAGCTTTAAATTGGCACTTCGGATGCAGCCAAAGTAGTCGAAGTGGCTGCCATTCGACAAACGAACACGTGGCGGCGGCCATCTTTGTTCATTCGAACGAGGTCAGCGGTATGTGTAGCCAAATCCATGGAACTGAAATCGGCTACTCATTTCAACGAACACCGCTGACCCTTACCTTCTCCTACACTCCGTTTTCAGCTGCAGAGACTAAGTCCCATTCGCCAGTTTGAACTCACTGCTATACTAAGCTAAATGCATTCGAATGGGACTTAGTCATTTTTCTGTGTAAAATAGACCGACCGCACAGCCCAAATCTATGGAACTGTTTTGGGCAGGAAAATGTGTTTGCGATCGGTCATAAAGGACTCCCAGCTAACTTTTTATCTACTGGATGGATTTGTCTGATTTTTGAGAGTGTTTATGTTTAAAGTGTGCTGATTCTGAATATTAACAATTTTTATGAAGATTGGACGTATATTTTTTAAAGTTATAGCACATGTATAAAAACTGTATTTTTCCTGCTTGTGATAATTGTTAACCCATTGTGTACCATAAATATATAACAGGCAGAGGGGAGGATTTTGTGTATAATTGCTGGGAGTGTTTTCTGTAATGTACGTGTGTTATTGGTTGTTCTGTAAAACCCTGTGGGCAGTACTAAGTTTGTGGACTGGGAATAAAAGAGGCTGTATGTGCCAGTACAGTCAGTTCTGCTTGACCTCAAAACGAAGTGTCGTCTCGTTATTGGGGGAATTGGATTGTATGCTGATTTCCAGGAGTGTAAGCTGATTGTATGCTTTTCCTGTTCAGCTGTTTACAGCATTCAAATGCTTGAGAGCATTCGCATGCTTCTCCGGTTCGGTGGTTGTGGTGTCTGCTGCAGTGCTTGGAGTCCTCAGGAAGCGCTAGGAGCATCCTTCAACTGAGGTACCCAGTCGGGGGGGCCAGGCGATCCGTTACATAGCTCTCTTGTTAGCTTTTTATTTTATTTTTCTTCTAAAAGCAAACCTCTAATAAAGGCTCTTACATAAAGTATCGTAACACTTTTTACTGAAGTCATTGAAATATTTTACATTACTGCATTTCTCCCGAACATTTTCTATAGTGATGTATTGAAATATGGTGCCATTGTGACATTGAAAAGTCTGCATGCATGCAACGTTACATGCATCTCATGCACTGTTTTTTATTATTTTTTTTTATTTTTTTTAAGTGTACAGTTCTGATTTTTTTTTTAAATTACCCATACACTTTCTGTGATCAGCATCAAGGCATGGAGCTTGTCATTTTTTGTTTCTCTTCCTTCTATTAAAAAAGTCACCTCCATTCCAAAGTGCCTTCCTTTGTATTTTATTTTAAATAAACTAAGGTAGAGTTAACTGTTTATTTTTAAAATGAATCCTTGTCTCTCTGTTTCTTATTCTTTTCTAATCTACAAAAGGCATATGGAAAGGAAAAACAAATGACCATTCCAATTTAACTTTTGTAATATATGTTTCTGTGAACTGCACCAGCATTTTCCAAAATTGCGACGGTAGAATAAGTGCCTAAAACCAAACACTTTCAGGGTTTGTCACTACAGTGAGAATTCAAAGTGAATTGTGAGTTTTTAAGGTCAAATAGTTGTCAGCTTTACTTTCAATTTGGCTACTGTGGCCTTGAATTTGAAATTCACTTTGAATTTTCACGTTGGTAAATAACCCTGTTTAATTTCAACAGAAAAGGTACAACAGTTACTCCACATTACATAGTACTGGATAAATTATATAATTATTTGATCTGCCAGTGCCAGATGATGCAAATATTATATTTAACCGAAAAATTATTTAAAAAAATTAATACTGTAATAAAAATTTTTTTTTTTATATATATAAATAAATGATGAGTGATAAGTACAAAGAATGTGGTGTCTTTGGGTATTTTCTTTCCTCACACCTCTGCCCACTGGCTTTCTCTTCTCTAGATACATAGTTCTTCTCTATTCTGTTCTATAATATTTCCCCTTTGTCACCCCTTTCCTCTCCTATTGATTTTACCACAGTTTTATCAGTGAAACTTTGGCCTCGATTTTAAAATTGTTGGATAAGCTTTCCAAATGACTGAAGATTTTTTTAATGAACGTTTTTATAATTACTTTTTTAAATATCAAAAATTATATAAACAATATATCAAAATACAAAATATAACAAAATATTTTTCATAATATTATTGAATCATTTTAAAAGTTTTATCCCCAAAAATATTAAATCATTTGGAAAGCTTATACAACAATATTAAATAGAGGCCTTTGTGCTTTCTAAAGGACAACTACGGTAACTGCTTTTTGCACTGATGATGCTCATTAAAGGTAATGTCTACAAGACAAAAAAAAATAATCCCTAAACTGAAATGGGATAACTGAGCTTGACACTGAACAGGTCGTCCTGCTTGTTGTACTGTAACTAAATTTAGTGCAACCTTCCTGCCTTTGGCAGGCATTCATATTAGAAGTTGACTTAATGGTACTTTAATGGAAAATTCCTCTCACAACTAATGTTGTAAAGATGCATCATAAGATTTGTTATAATGCGGCTACATTGTTTTTCCCATTTTCATTGGAATTCTTTTACTACTAAAAAAGGGGGCTAAAACAATAAATGATAGCCATTAGTAGTGTGTGCAATTTTAATAATGCAATGGACTCTTGAATGCAATGGTATTATTTATGGAAAAATGTCTTACTTTTAGTTACATTACATTATTTATTTTATTTTTGCTACTATGTGGCAAATGAGCTGTCAAGTATTCAGTAGCTCTTTTTGAAATACAGTACTGCAACAGTTAAATTTATGTAGTAGTTTTTTTTTTTCCTGTTATCTGTGAATGGTTGCTTATCTTATCATTTTGCAACTGCTGCTAGCAGGTATGTTTTTACTTTCTATTTGTCACTAGGCATTTTTCTGACCTTGTGACTTTTTTTCCCTAGACAAACCATTTTATTGCATTCACTGAGCTAAGTTAACACCTTCTGGTATGCCTATTGGAAGTAGGGTGTACGGCGTGCATGCTAAACCTGTTTCTATCTGAAGTTAGTGAGGAAATGGCTAAATACAAAGTTGTATTCTGCAACATGCATTTGTGGCAAATGCATTCAATGTAAAAGAATGTAAGCGATTTTATAGATCAAAGATTCTTCAAGAGTTACTCCAACCACCATGACCACTTCTGCTTTTTGAAGTGGTCATGGTGGTAGGAATCTTTATGTGCAGTGTTTGATTTGCTCCACAAACCGGGATAGTTACACTTTTTGTGCTGAGGTCTAGTTGCGCCTCCAGTACACATGACATAGGCAGCCTGGAACTCCGTACTACACGCTGGCCGACAGACGTTATCAGCTTCAAGGGAATCATTTATATCCCCTACCACCGACCTATAATCCTAAATTGCAGGTCCCCCGCCCAACAGCTCAGAGAGTGTACCTATACGCTCCGAATCAGTGAAACGGTCTAATCAAATACTTGCCTTGTGAGAGAGGCAGTGATGTCATACCGAGCATGGAAACCAATGTGGGTAGGCTAGTCTGGGCTTGGATTCAAGATTATTTTACAGGGTTTTAAGAGGTGTGGTGTAAGTGGAATAATACCTAATAGGACACTGTAAATCACATTTTTTTATATATATATATATATACATAATTCAAGAAAGTGTGCACTCAAAGATCTTTGTGTGTGAATTATTCAACTGCTTTATTTTGCAGGAATTATAAACAAAATGTGTCAACGTTTTAGCCCATCCCTGGACTTTTTTCAAGACCACTAATACGCCGACTTCGTAGTTTAAATAGGAATAGTGAACATAAATGAAGGTGATTGTGATCAAAGGAAGCTCAATATGATGCATATAGTCCTTGCCCCACTCCAAATATAAAGAAACATTAACTTGAATCAATCATGTTAATATACAAACTATTCGTGCAAAAACCCAAGTGAAATGCGCACAATGTGTACATAGTCTCTTCTATCCTTTTTTTTTTTTTTTTTCATTCTTTATTTTTGCATGCCTAGCAATATATAAAGTCAGTACAGACATTTTATCACACAGACATTCAAGACAGAAAATGTCATTGGTAAGGTTTACACTGTCATGGGTTTGGTCAGCACTTTTTATAATAATAATAATAGCACAATATAAAATATCATGTTGTACAACTAGCTTTACTCCTAATAAGGAAAAAATAAATAAAATAAAAACAAAGTGAAATCAGTAGAGTGAGATGCATGTTAAGCAGGATACACCACCTCCAGGAAACAAAAACCAAAATATATAAGATACCGGCAAGGTAAGTGTTGCTTCTATTCCGGCCCACAGATTCCCCATGCATGCAGTGTGTGTGTGTGTGTGTGTGTAACTGGTACCAGTATACAAGTAATGGTTTTAATGAGAGCTAGAAGGCACCTGTCGCCTAGGGTCCTAGGCAGGTTGGGATCTGTGGATGGGTAAGTTGTGGTGTGGTAATTTGTTGCCTGGCCCTGGATAGCTATACTAGGGCAAAATGTTTACTCTGCTTAGAGAAACGTTGCTATAAGTTCGGAGGGCATCGCCGTTTTGTCTAGGTCAATCCAGGGCACAATTCTATTGGCCTCATGGATTACATTAATTAATTAATTTCTCACGTACTAACCTGGCTTAATTGGCTATTGCCAGATTTTGGAAATCTCCTACAATACCCTCTATCTGTTTAAATACTACAAGATCTAAAACAGGCTGAAAGTATGGGATGCCTGTAATTTAACAGTGTCAGAGGTATAGCGTCTATTCTTAGACTCTCTTCAAGTTTGTCCTATTATATAGCATCATGATAGTGGAGAGGGGAAAGGGAATGGAAGAAGTAAAGGAAAGAAATAAAAGAGAAAGGAAGAGAGAGAAAAGAGAAGAGGATCCTACTTATCCCTCTACCTTCCCTCTCTTCCCCCCCCCCCCTGGTTGTTTTGTTTTTGTTTTATGTTGTAGTTTACTTTGAAGGGTACTTAGAGGTATAAAGTTTTTACAGTTTTTGTTGTATTTGTATCTTTACAATAAAGATACAAATTTTGAATTACAAAAAATAAAAGGAAAGAGTCACCGGCGGAATTGTGCCCGTTGCCTCCACTCGTTTCTTTGGAAATTGACTGATTTTTAGTACTTTAGACACTTTTTACAAAAGAACTCTGATAGATCTCCCCAAATGTGTGAAAATTTCAGTCAGCTGAGTGTTCACGATCTCCTTGACCAAATTGCATTCTGACGTTGAAGGGTTACTCAGAGCACCATCACCACTTCGCTTTGTATAATGTTTCTATATGGCTAATGTAAATTCTGGGAATGTTGGATGTCTATCATCAGCATGCTCAACATGCTGGTGACAGGCATTACATGGTGTCACCTCCCTCCCCTCATCATCCCCTCTGTTTTATTAAGAGTAACCCTTAGAAAAATTCCCTTGGGTTTGACCTGAGCAGTGGGTACAAACAGAGATTATGGTAAAGTATGGATAAATAGGAATTACTCTTAGATATAAGCAGCTTTGTAATTTTAAATGCACGTATCATCATCAATTGCATCAGTATATAGTTTTCATTGATCCTCTTCCATAACTGCCCCAGATTGTACAAGGATAAAAGTATTACTAGTGTTTTCAAAGCACAATCATCAATGTTCATAATTGTGACTTATTAACTTTTTTTTTTTTCTTCCTCTGTAGGACTCAAGTGTGAAACCAAGAATAATACTGATACATCATGGCTGCGCTCTTAAGATCAGTAGCCACCAGCTGCTCGGTTCCCCTCTTCAGCAGTGCCATTTCACTGAAGGCTCAGACTGTAAAGACACCATGCCTGCGCATGTTCCGTACTCACAGAGCCCTGTGGTGCCAGAAGCCAGTGCAACAAGGTAACAATGAAGCATTATTCTGTGTTTACACTTAAAGGGACACTACAGACACCTAGACCACTCATCTTACTGTAGTGGTCTGGTGCACTGTCACTGTCACTGTCCCCATAACCCTGCAGACCTGTAGTGGTCTGGTGCACTGGCACTGTCCCCTTTCAGAGAAACTGCAATGTTTATATTGCATTGTGTTTTAAGACTTTCTCTTGTTGCTGTCTACAATACAGTCACTAGAGGTGCTTCTTGCTGTTTCACAGAGTTTAACTCCCTGAAATGTCGCTGGACGCACTCACGATGTGCATGAGGATGTCCAGCACCTTCATTCAGCACCTTCAGCATCCCTGAAATTCCAACCCAGTCAAGATATTTGGAGACACAGTAGTCGCTGCTTTGTCTCCGTATTTGTTTCCTCCGCCTGACGTACTTTACATTGGGGGGAGCGAACAACACCACTCAGCTGTCACCAAATTAGCTCTGTAGATTTTAATGCTGTTCTCTCACGCTTGTGTGAGTACACTAGTACTGTCAGCTCTATGACTCAAGAAGAAAGTATATTTTAGTAATATATTTTATTTTGTTTTAAGTCAGTAGGTTAAGCACACAAATTCCATGTTTTTAAGTCTGTGCAGATATGGAGCGTACTTTAAAATTAGTAGTAAGTACTCATACTTGAAATGTGATTTTAGGGGGTTTATTGAGCAGTGCATTTTTCTCACAGTGTTTACCGAGCAGTGTCATTTTTGTACAAAGTATAAGGTATGACCAAAAAACAGATGTGCTTTTATGCCCTGTTTGCTACAAGCTCTAAATCTGGCGGCCATTGTAAATACATTGCTACACTGGGAATCTGCAAGCGAGGTTCATCATTGATTTTGCATACGGGGGGCATAATGAAATAATCACCAATGAGCAACACTTAGAATGACATAGACAATGACAATCTTGCACATTATTTTCAGCATTTTCTGAGGAATGTTTTTAATTTTTAAATTCTTAAAATGGCTTACTCATTTTAGACTTCAATGCACAAATAATATTTGTGGTTTAATTGCATGACAGATAAGAGATGTTTAGCAATTTTCTAATAATGTGTCCTCTACAAATTTTAGTTACTATAAAGGCCGGCAAAACAGAACTGAAAGAGTGAAGAATAGATTTTGATGAAAATGTCTTATGTGTTTTATGACTTAAATTAACCGACTGTAATCTGTTTTTCCTTTTTATGTTGAGTGCTTCATAAGCAAGTTACAAACCCAACTTAATGAAATGCCTTTTCTTATTTTGTCTTCTTTTTCTTTTTTTTTCTCGTGTGTATCGTATGAAAGTCACGTGTCATTGGTTTATGGTGAAAACGATGACAATCCACTGATATGCTTAATATTGAAACTTGCAGCCAATCAGGCTAACCAGTGACTTTCATTTGACTTTTGTTAGGTCAAGTGTTGTGTTTAAGAAATATATATGTATTATCATTGCAGTTACTTCTGATGTGGGTAGCCTAACTCAGATGTGTTTTACAAATATAAAAGTCACGGTGTGATGCACATTTATCCTGACCCTGCATTGTGTGGCTGTGTGGCTTGTTGTTTTTTTAGGACTAGTTTGTCCTGTCCACACACGTGAACTAAGGCTAAGAGACAGAATGGATATGAAAAAAAGGTGCAAATTCTTGAAAATGGGAAGCTATTAGTGATATCTTTATCATGGAAGTCCTCAGAAGCTATTCACTGAACAGTGAATTACAGTTATTTTGAGAAAACCAATTTGCCTAATTTAGGGCGAGATGAGAATATTGCAACATTTTTGCCATAAGATTTAGAGTGACTACTTTTAGATTATTTACATTTAAGGCTTGTAGCCTTGCATTGCTGTCCAAAGTTTTACAGCATTCGAATCATAATACGGAAGCGGATGAACTTTTCCATTCTAATTGGAAGTAACAATGCTGGGGTCTTATTCCTGCCCATGCACAGGAGAGTTTTTATGCCACCCATTGTGACACTAATTAAGTGCATGTTGCTCAGGGCTTGGTGGTTCTTTTTCACCCTTAAACACATTATTTATTCTATAGTAATACCTGGTTCATACTTGACAAGTAGTTACATTGCTTTTAGTTATCACAGACCTTGTCTAGTTTATCAATTTAAATGTGGGTGCAAGTGTGAAGCAACCACGAACGCCTATTCATGGACATTTTCCCCTTCAAGGAGCTATTTCATTAAGTCTGGCCACCCTAAATACATACCTTTCTGTCATCTTCCTCCCTCCCTCCCTCCCCCAAGTCAAAAGACCCTTCAAGAGTAATTCAGCAACTTTCCTCTTGTGAAACCTGCTTGGAAGAACTGAATAATCCCATGGTCCGGTTCATCCAGGCTTTAAAGGTCCAGACCTGCCATATTATGAGTAGAATCTCTACTCTGCCCTTAGTTTGCAATCAATACTGGAACCCTTTGGTTAATGTTTCTAGGCCCTGCTGTTTTGGGGAGTAGTCCTAAGTTTTTGAGAGACCTTACGCTCTTTCTGTTGACAAAGCAAAGATATGGCTTATTGTGTCCTTACGAACTAGGAGGGCATTGAGATGTCTCCTCTGGGAGATAGAAGTTATTATTTTAGTGGATCACACAGTCTGTGTTGGTTTGCATCACCCCTGGTTGTATAGCTGATCACACAGGACACCTCCCTCTGCACCCCTGGTTGTATAGGGAAGTTTAATAATTTTACATCCTCCTTTTGGAAAACAAGATTACTCTGGTGAATGATCTTACTGCTGGTATTCATATTCTGTCTTTTTGCTTTCCAGGAATTCCATACAAGCAGTTAACTGTAGGAGTCCCCAAGGAGATTTTCCAGAATGAGAAACGAGTGGCACTGTCACCTGCTGGAGTACAGGCTCTGGTTAAGCAGGGGTTCAATGTGGTGGTAGAAGCAGGAGCTGGTGACGCATCAAAATTTTCAGATGACCAATACAGAGAGGCAGGAGCCACTATTAAAGGGACCAATGAAGTATTTTCTTCAGATCTGGTCCTGAAGGTAAATAATTTGTTTGATGCCAATCCATATGCATTTAGTGATATTGTGTGATGATATGGCCCATAAAATGAAAAATAAGTGCTGTGTAAACCAAAGGAATGTTTCTACTTTTTGAATGTTCTAATATAGACTCCATACGTGTATATTTGAGCTGCTTTTTTTTAAAATTTATTAATTTTTTTTAATCTTAGGTAAGGGCACCAATATTAAATCCTTTGTTGGGAACCCATGAAGTGGACCTCTTCAAACCATCTTCAACGTTAATCAGTTTTGTATATCCAGCTCAAAATCCTGACCTGCTGAACAAACTCGCTGAGAAAAAAACCACTGTGTTGGCCATGGACCAGGTGCCACGTGTTACAATTGCTCAGGGATATGATGCTCTCAGCTCCATGGCTAACATTGCTGGGTAAATTCCAATATGTTACCTTTATGCTGTGCTGGGGAAATCACCAGTTGATGTGTAGATTAAATGTTCTACTTACCTAAAGTTTGTTCTGGGTTATATTTACTTGACAGATACAGCTTCCTATCAAGTAAATCTCAAATCTCAAATATTTCACTATTTACCTGCTCACCAGAGAAGATCCAAACATATGCTGTGATTGACTAACATTAGAAACATTCTGTGTTCTCTTTATATAGTTATATTGTCTACCCAACTGCAATTTAAATTAGTATTTGGTAAATAACCTGTTTCCAGTTGTTAGTGTGTGTGTATGTGTGTGTATATGTGTGTATATATATATATATATATATATATATATATATATATATATATATATATATATATATATGTGTATATATATATATATATATATATATGTGTATATATATATATATACTGACATGCATTATTTTATTACATCCTTTAATTATTAGAACATTTAAATTGTCTTGATGTTTAAGAAATGATTGTGATCTTTTATGTCCATATACTGCTACACCTCATTTTCATCTGATTAATTAATTTGTATATCTGGAAAGACAAATGTTTCTATGCGTCAAACACCATACTGTGAAGATTATGCATAAAGAGCAATTCTGATGCATTTTTTTTAAAGGTGAAGCCATCGCCAAGGAATATTCTAAAGGTTTTCATGATTTCTTCGCTTTATGAAATTCACCCCAGATTTGTTGTAAAGTGGCAGTTTGCTTGGAGATTTGGGCTATTTTCACAATCCCTCTTCCTTGACTTGGCTTTATTGAACAGGAATGGAACCAGACAACGATTGTTCAGTCTCCTTTACCCATTATCTTTGCAATACTCTATGAGCTGGTATTCAGACTTGTAAAAACTCATTACTGCTGGCTCGTATTTTCATTGCTCGTTCCTTTATGCCAGATTGTAGATATTATTCTCAGAATTTTCATTAAATTTGGACTTTGGCATTCATTTGGCATGCATCTGTTTCCTGTATTCCAGCTACAAAGCAGTTGTTTTGGCAGCTAATAACTTTGGGCGGTTTTTCACTGGACAGATCACCGCAGCCGGCAAGGTCCCACCAGCCAAGGTAAAAGGGTCAGAATACAGATTTTATTTCTGCAGGTGACCGTTTGTAATGCAACAACCTGGTTTTAATGCTTGAGAACTATTTAGACAACAGAAATTGTATTGTCATTTATATTTTTGTTTATATGTCTGTAGTATATTTTATTTTGAACTCTGTGCACTGAAGGTTTCAGTAAGTTATGGCAGAAAGGGACACCTATTACTCTTGGATACATTCCAGCGCTATGAAATTTGCTGGCGCTATATAAATTATAAAATAATAACAATTTACCTGCAAAGGACATTTAAATGGACACTCTAAACCCCCTATAGCACTTCAGCAAGCTAGAGTATATTGGGCTTTAGTGTTCCTTTTACAGAAGCTTAAACAAAGTATCCCCTCTTGCTCCAATGCGGGAGGGTACTTTCTTGATTATTTTGTGCGCTTGATGAAAAATGTTGTTGTGCAGTGTGGCCTTTGCTGCACCTGCGCCATGTCTCCCAATGCAGTCTGACTGCCTGGAGATCATCCTTGCTGGTGATATCACAGGAAGCTGAGCAGAGCTACAGGGAGGGAATGTCTTAAAGTTAAAGGGGCTCTTTAGGCACCCAGACCACTTTATCTCATTGAAACGCTCTGCAATTTAAAGTGTTACAGTTTCAGATAAACTGCAATGTTTACATTGCAATACTAAGACTTCCTGCTGTTTCACAGAGTTTGTCTGTGAAACTATGCTGGACGTCCTCACGATGTGCATGAGGACATCAAGAATCTTCAAATCCCACTATGGGGAAGGCATAATGAGAACCCGCTGCACATGCGAATTAGGTTCCTCCTATTAATAATATTGGTGGAGATGGAGCCAGTGCTGGTAGGACCTAATGTGCATGCGTAGCGGGTTCTCATTAGTTAACCTAATTTGGCACTGTAATCTGGTTAGTGTTTTAAAGGGTTTTAACCCATTAACTGAAGGGAATGGGCTGAGGGGGAAGGGGGTCAGGGGGACACTCTAATGTTAGAAATACAGCTTGGTATTCCTAAAACGGTCATGTTCATTTAACCCTTTATTTTACAGGTTTTGGAAGGATAAAGGGTGTCCAGGAGACTAGGCAAATACAACAGCAGTATAAATAAATAGGAAGCTACTCCTATTTTTCATTTTATTTTTATATAGATAAAACATTCACAATCTGCAGAAAAACTAGATTGCAATAAAAAAAAGAAAATTATCTTCAATTTCTGATCTTTAAGTGCTATCTGTATAAAATCAAGCACCCAGTAGATCTATTGGTTTGCCCAGTTTTGCAGATACCGCTATAATGTGTATGGAGCTCATGACTGCTACGTTCACTGCAGCCTCTGTGAAGAGGCAATAGCACATACGGTAATTAATGCAGCAGATGCAGAGGGAGGTGTCCTGTGTGATCAGCTAACAGTCAGAAATAGAAAATCTGTGTAACATGAGAAGGACCCTTAGAATGGTTACTGGTACGAATGAAGCAAACGTTAGTTGTATAGTCCTAATGGCTCTTTTACATTTTATGTCGATGTATGCTTTACACATAACTCGGCCAGTAATTAAATGTAATCAGAATGTACTTACAAAATGCACCCAATACTGGACTACATACTACTTTTATAAGCATTTTGAATATATCCAGCAGGTGGCAGTGTTGCACTTAGAAATTAGGCTTTGGGCTCAATTTAACTTAAATGGTCTTGTTGCTTATGGGGTCTCTACCACTATTCAATGCCGTCAATGTTTTCACTACCATACCATGAAGAAATATTTATTTCTATTTATGAAACTAGTCATTTGAATTTTGTTGTAGACATGATACATGCAGGCATACCATGTTGGCAAGATATTGCTTTTACAGGTACAGTCCTCCCCTTCCATCCCACTCCTTATATACATGGCTTCACAGTTTCTGTGTTTCTGCATTTAATTCTCTTGTTTACACCTGATATACTGTTGCTCAGTAGTGCGCACCTGTCTTGCATTTTCATATTTGAATTAGGAAAGGAAATTCCTGTAGATTCATTTTTGGCAATTTAATATATAAACATCCCATTTACTTGTCTGGAAAATAGCTTTCTGGCATTTGTGTGTACATTTATAACTTCACAGTCTTTTAACCCCTAGCATGCTGTTATGATTAAATGCATAGGGGTCATTATTAAGTTCAGTTAATTTTTGGTTCATGGTAAATGGCTTATCTATCGAGATGGGAGATAGAGGGACCTTTGAAGCTTGCAAACCATTTGTTGGTAGGATAGTGTAAATTATCAGCCGCTGCTCATTGATTTCCTTGGAGCGGTTTTCAGATGCCGTGCAGGACTGCATTCTAGCTACATTTGACAAGGCTTTACATGGAGGTTTCCCAGCACTTGTATCTAAAACTTATTTTGTCACTCTGTAGGTTCTCATCATCGGTGGTGGCGTTGCTGGTCTGGCTGCAGCGGGAGCTGCTAAGTCCATGGGGGCAATTGTCCGCGGGTTTGACACAAGGTGGGTAACCAAGGTTACAAACCTAGGTAACTGTTGTATATAGTCTATTTAATCTTTGTGTTGGCAGCTTCTCAAAAACCGGATTGTAAGGTTCATATATAGACTATTTATCCTGCTCCACGTTCTTTTTGTCAATAAGCCAAATTATTATGGCAGAATGTACTGTTATTTCTTATTCCTTGGCATTCTCTTGGAATTTGTGTAAATGTAAAGAATATTGCACATTTTTAAAGTGTTAATGTTTCGTTGGATACTTCAGTGGGTTACAAGTTTTATTCAAATGTTTTAAATTGCACAAATTCTCTATTTTGCTTTTTGTGGCTTATCTTTTTTTTTTTCTTAAAAAAACAAACAAAAACAAACCCAACAGAGTTAACCCTTTTCAGATACAAAAAATGGTTAATGTGTTGAATTCCAACTGAGATAGTATTGTAGTTGTATGGATTACTGTAATATGTACACTCCACTTTACTAGCGGTAACTGAACACACAGAATGACAGACAAGGAAATAATTAAACGTTATGGTTCACCAATATCTCCCTAGGGCCGTTATCCATTATCCTGTAATTTAGAGCAGAGTTCTAAAGCAAACCACCTATTAATAAGTCCCTGTGCAAATTAAGACCATTATTTTTTTTCCGCAAACCTAAAGTGGTTTGTGGTCTTTAAAGGTCATGTATGCATCTGCCCTTTTGCTCTTGAAGACATTTTGTGGTGCGTTTGTCTAGAAAACCATTAAACATTGTGTTTTGGTTAAAATTTAGGGCTGCAGCTTTGGAGCAGTTTAAGTCCATTGGAGCTGAACCCCTGGAGGTGAATCTGACAGAATCTGGAGAAGGCCAGGGGGGTTATGCAAAAGAAATGTCAAAAGAGTTTATTGAAGCAGAGATGGCACTCTTTGCCAAGCAGTGTCAAGAGGTGGACATCATTATTACTACAGCTCTAATACCTGGTATGAAGTCTAAATTGTTACTCCTTTCAGTGAAAAATTAAGATTCTCTAAATACTCTGTTTTTCAGCTAGGCTTTCTCTCTACTGCCCTCCACTGTTCTACAGCTAGGCTGTCATTCTAGCGCCCTCCACTGTTCTACAGCTAGGCTGTCTCTCTAGCGCCCTCCACTGTTCTACAGCTAGGCTGTCTCTCTCGCGCCCTCCACTGTTCTACAGCTAGGCTGTCTCTCTAGCAGCCTCCACTGTTCTACAGCTAGGCTGTCTCTCTAGCACCCTCCACTGTTCTACAGCTAGGCTGTCTCTCTAGCGCCCTCCACTGTTCTACAGCTAGGCTGTCTCTCTAGCGCCTTCCACTGTTCTACAGCAAGGCTGTTTCTCTACTGCCCTCCACTGTTCTATAGCTAGGCTCTCTTTAGCGCCCTCCACTGTACTGCAGCTAGGCTGTCTCTCTATCGCCCACCACTGTTCTACAGCTAGGCTGTCTCTCTAGCGCCCTCCATTGTTCTACAGCTAGGCTGTCTCTCTAGCGCCCTCCATTGTTCTACAGCTAGGCTGTCTCTCTAGCACTCTCCATTGTTCTACAGCTAGGCTATCTGTCTAGCGCTCTCCAATGTTTCAGTTAGGTTGTCTCCCAATTTGTTATAGTTTCTGCTGTCTCCTGCCTGCATGTCCCCTATTTCTCCATCTTTAGTAGAGCAACCTACTGGCTGATATTTAGGAAGAAATAATCATGACTTTTGCTTCTGAAGATTTCTACGTTAATAGGTTCATAAGCTATTTGAACCATAATTAAATAACACATGGGCTGCAGAGCCATTGAGCAATGTTTTTCCAACTACAATAAATCACAACAGAGGAATGGATGTTTGGTGTTAAATGTCATGATCTGAATGACCTACCCTTGTGTTTTTAATTTCTATATCTTGTTTATAGGCAAAAAGGCCCCCATTTTGTTTCGTAAAGACATGATTGACTTAATGAAGGAAGGTTCAGTGGTGGTAGATCTGGCTTCTGAGGCTGGTGGAAACATTGAGACAACAAAACCGGGAGAACTGTATGTTTACAAGGTAACACTAAAACTATGTAGTATTTTCAGTTTTTCAATAAAACTTTCATCAGGACAAGACTTGTCTGGATGAAAGTTTTGTTGAAAAATGGAAACTTCAATATTTTTATTGCTGCAAGCTGAATAATTTTTTTTTTTTATCCCCAAAAAGTCATTTTTTTTTTATTTTTTTTTTATGATTTGTGTATATATATCTTTTTTTATGTGACGCCTTAATAAGGGATATGAATATTTTCTAATTTCTGTCCTTTTCTAAATCAGGGGATAACCCATGTTGGCTACACAGATTTGCCCAGCAGAATGGCAACACAGGCAAGCACACTCTACTCCAACAACATCATCAAGCTTCTGAAAGCCATCAGCCCTGACAAGGACTACTTCTACTATTCACTAAAGGATGAGTTTGACTATGGTACAATGGACCATGTAGTAAGAGGAACAACAGTTATGAAGGTGAGTGTTTGTTTGAAGATGTATAGACAGTGGAGTAAACTGAAGTGTTTACAAAATATCCATATCCTTCTTTTCTACAACAACCTGTCATATGCCATACCCATTGAGGTGTTTGAGTACTGGGAAGTGGGCCGTGTGGCATGTCATGGAAGCCTCTATGTCCATGTTGCATAAGGAAACATTACTGTAAAGAACCATTTGGAAGATATTTAAACTATCGCTCAACTGTACAAGTGGGGAAAATGGAACCAATGTGGGGTTGAAAGGGGCCGGTAGGAGATAAGTAGAGCATTAAAGATACCTTTGTGTGGAATATAGAACATTTTTCTTAATGGAACATCAAATTCTACACAGTTCTTATTTCTTTGTGATGAATTCATTCTGGTCAGCACACGCAATGAAATTAGGCACTGACTGATTGAAAGCCCTTGTTGCCATATCAACAGAATATTAGAAGTTGGTGTTTCTGTGTTATTCATGGAAAGAATAACTTTTCAGATCTGCTCCATTTCCCTTCATGTAATTATAAATGAGAACTTTTTCCACCCTTTTAATGAACTTCTACAATTAGGTGGTAAGTTTCCTTTACGTTAACCTAAGTCCGGACACTCTAACAAACTTTGTACAAACAAATCCATTCATTTCTTGTTCTACGTCTCTGTTGGTTCTTATTTGTTCTAGAATTTATTTTGTATCACTATATTTGTTAATTTGTTATGACTTTTGCCTTTTCATATAGTACAGGAAGATTAATGTTGGCACATGCTGTGCTTTTTAAATGAAGCTTCATCTGCAGTTAATTTTGCTTGAACTAGTTCCTTCTTGTGAAGTACAGCCATAGCCTCTTTCCAGCAGTGAATAATTGTTAATATTATGTTAAAATACCTAAAAATCTAATAAATATTTTGGAATATTTTCTTTGTAGACACTCTGCACCACATCAGTCTAATTATTTGCTGCTTTTTCTTGGCATGTCCCAGAGTAGCAAGGCTGATGTGAAGCCTAGACCAGAATCCTTTGCTTCATATCCTGTCTCAGTTATGACTAACTTTGGCACTCCAGGTGTTTGAACATTTTTTTGTAATGCTCACCACCCTAACCGCTTGCTGAGCATTATGGGTAATTCACAAACATCTGGATTAGCATGTTGAAGGAACACTCCCACCTCCTTGACAACTTCAGCTCACTAAAGCGAGCAGGAGTGTCAGGGTGAAGTTAACCTTCAGAGGTAAAACTGTTGATTTGAAGTTGCTGCTACTGCACCGACACTGCTTTCTTTTGTCTTATGTGCTGTTTCTCTAAATGGGTGGCCATTCATAGTTGACACTGTCACAGGTTATTACTGGTTGCCTAGCAAACCGCGTCAGAGAGGAAGGAAGCTCTCGGGTGTAGTGGTGTTGAACTGTGGAGGATCAATTTCTCAATGAAACCATCAGATTGTTAAACCACTGAATGTAACATGGTGCCTGGTCACTCCTCCCCCATTACTACTTCAATCATTTGAAATTGTGATAGGGGTAGGAGTCACTTTATTTAAAAAAAAAAAAAATTTAAACTTAAGGAGGAACTTTAACATTTTAAGAGTTGAAAACACACATACCTTTTGCTTCATATGAGGATTCAGGGTGGCAAAGCCAACCCATGATGCCACTGGTGTGCTTATGTACACATGAGCATATGTGGAGAAATTCTGTACTAGCACATAAGCAATCTATAGTTTCAACATCATATAAATGCATGCACATTGCGTATAGCAATGGCTAACCAATATGCATGTTGTTCCAGGCAAATAATGTAAATTTCATTTACAATAAAAAGATACATTATACTAACAAAAAATATGTCTCTAGAGATTTTTAAAAAACATTTTAACCCAACCGGTAACAAAGTTTTAGTTTAAGATTTTGACAAAACCTTAAAAGTACCATACAATCACCATGTCTCCTTGTTGATCTGTAAATACATGCCAATAGGCACTTTGACATAGACTTTGAAAAATAGCATTTTGATAGCAAAAGAAAATCCACTTTCAAATTTTACTTTAGATTGCAAGCTTATGAGCAGTTTTTCTTCTATTTTCAGTTTTATCCCCTGTATAAAACTGCAAACCGATGTGCATTATTTTGATCCTATATAAATGCTAGCAATATAAAAAAAAAAAAAAAATAAGAATTAAAAAAAATCTTGCAAGTGCTAACTTTAAAATAAAATTGAAAACAATGCTCCATTTGGTTCAGTCTGTTTCTAATTTGTGATTTAAATTAGCGGGGAAAAAATATAGTTCTATTCACACTTTATTTCAAATACATTTTTGTTTTCTAATGCTGTTTGCTCATTCACTTTTTTTTTAAAAAGCTTTTTATTAAATTTTTTTTTTTTTTGCTATTTGCATTCATTTGTGTATTCAGATTAATTTAATGCTCAGTGTTGTACATTTAAAAAAAAAAAAAAAAAAAAAAGTTCCCCTAAAACCAGAAAATGCTTAAATCATTTACCTTTTCGTTTAACATTCATTCATGGCAACAATATATTTGTTCTCTAAATAAGTATAACCTTACATCTTTGTGGTTCTCTAGGATGGAAAAGTTATATTCCCAGCACCATCTCCTAAGAAACTCCCAGAAGCAGCCCCCGTGAAACACAAAAGTGTGGCTGAATTAGAAGCAGAAAGGATTGCAGCCATATCTCCTTTCAGAAAGACCATGAACAATGCCACTGCTTACACCGCCGGTAAGCCACCTGCTCCTTCACACCATTTCTTTTTTTAGTGACCAATTAAAATTGAGTACATATTGTTTACAAGTCTTGTACCCCAGGTGACTTTTTACTAATATTTCTGTTAGCATATGCACATGGGATCTTTAAAATACGCAAAGGTATTGTACATTCTAAAAATGATTAGTAACTTTTATAATTTATTTTTTTTACCGTATATTTTATTGTATTTTATGTCTTCTTTTAATTAAAAATGGGTCTCATGTCTTTAATGTAATAACGTTTGCAAATGTTGCGGGTCAAGGCACATGAAAATCATATATTGGTTGTGTCTCCCTTAGGTCTGACCACTCTCCTAGGTCTTGGCATTGCCGCCCCCCATTCTGCTTTTACCCAGATGGTGACAACCTTTGGTTTGGCTGGAATTGTGGGTTACCATACAGTTTGGGGTGTTACACCTGCCCTGCATTCCCCACTTATGTCTGTGACCAATGCCATTTCAGGTGAGTTTTCTTTATTCTCCATGTTATCTCATATATATCAATATTTTGAATCTATTATTGCGGGATTGTGGGAAATCGCTGTACTTTACTGATGCTAAAAGGCACCTGTCATAAAAAAAGAACAGTGACATTTTATAAACCATAAAACTTAATCTATACTTCATTCCAGGCATGCTGCAAAGAAACGTTCAATACTTAATGAAAATGTTATTACAAATGCCATAATTCTAGAGTTAAACCTGTGTGTATATATCCACAATGTGTCATATATACATAATTGTGTTCGGGGCATTCTCATATGATATAGAATGAGTTGTAGAGATGTAGCTTTAGGAATAATCGGTTGAGGTGTGCCGAAACCGCCGTATGCTGTAGGCCGGTAAAAAGTGGGCAAAAAGAGCCATATTAATGCAAAACATTATACAGGATCATAGTGCATTTGTTAACCATCAGGTAGACCTTTTAATGAAAGATTCCCAATTCCTGAATCGGCTGTGGTATGTAAGTCGCATAAGCCTATAATTCCCAGCGGCCCCGTGTCTTAACGTGTGCGGGGATGTCTTGGCTATAGGCCGTGGAGGCTGCTCCTATCCTAAAGGAGTGCCCTGAGTAGTCGCTAGAGTTTAGTTCGAGCCCGGTGAATGAGTAGGTGGACATAGTGCATGAACTTACCTGTGGTAAGGACAGTATCGTACAGCGACAGTAATGGTTAAATGATTGATCTCCATACCATTCACTGCCATCCCAGAACTTGGGCTCGGATAAGACAATTCCATTGTTTCTAAACAGATTCATTAAAAGCATTTTATTGCTGAATGTAGCACGGCTTTGTAATATATCACACTGTGATTATTAAACCACCCGTTGAGAAACAAGAGTACGTGAAACAGAGCTTTCTCATAAAGCTCTGTTAGAGACAGTACAAACCCACCCCTAATATAGAAATCCTTTTTGATGTAATAAAAAGAAAATGTATTTCTCTAGCATGCCAGTTTAATTTTTATTTTTTTTATTTTTTTTAAGCATTAGGTGGTCAACTTTCGGTCAGGAATAAGTGAACACGTTTGAACTAGGCAGAGAATGCATATAGCCAAAATATTCAACTCAACTATTATAGTCTAAGATTTACAATTTTAAATTTTTAAAGATTCCTAGTATTGTTATGACCCAATATATATAAAAGCAAAAACATACAAAAATGTTTTTGTTTAAGTCTGAATTGATAAATAGCCCTGATTGTAACTCCGACATAATCTAATGAAAGGTCGAGTTGTGAAGGCGTGTGTGTACATTTATTTTTATAATTTGACAATTTTTTTTGTTGGTTTTCAAATGTTAACTTTTTATGTTTTCTGTTTTTAATTTACATTACGTGTCTGGCCAGAGCATACCAGGGAAGCTAATTTAACATCCAGGGGGCTGTAAGGAAAGGCACTTGACTGCTTACGGCACTATTAAAGGATTTGTTGAGCACACATGCCCCCAGTGTGTTTGGGATATGTCATTTCTCTGATGTGCAAATATCACCTGGCTATGATGTGACATCAACCTGCACACATGCTACAGAGAGATGTGTTTTAATGAGAAACTGTCACTTCAACTTTAATGCAATGTTATGGTAATGTTATTTTTAAAAACAAATTTGTAACCTGCATTTTCTGGTCATTTTGTGTAGGTCTGACAGCAGTGGGAGGACTTGCGCTCATGGGGGGTAGTTATCTCCCCACTAACACACATGAACTCCTCGCAGTGCTCGCTGCATTTGTGTCTTCCATTAACATTGCAGGTAATGTAGATCTTTTTAATGTACCAAAAGATGACTTATTTTCAAACAGTTTTTTTTTAGCAACCATTGTTCTAAAGGCTGTACGTCACATACTCGTGATGTACAGCCTTTAGAACAAGTTTTATTTCTATTGAAGCAAGCAGTGGCAAACAGCTGATTATCTGTTTTGTGTAGTTTACAGAACTTGACCTGTATGTATCAACCAAAGAGAGAACTTTTTTGGCTGAACCCATTTTACCTTCTTCAAGATAAAAGCTTTAATGTACCTGGAGAAGGCCAACCCTCTGATGTTTAGAGGGATTTGATGTTCTGAGTAATCTTCAGAGTGACACAAATCTACAGTATATAACATTTATCATTGATTTGAGTCCTGCTCTTAAATCGAGGAGCCTAGGGAGAGAAGGGGGGCTATTGAGATGCATCTTCAGTTCTTCTGGAATGTAGGATGTTCCTCATTTTTGATGATATGGGTAAAAACATTCCAGAGCTGTGCTATCAATGCTAAGGGAGCTCAATAGTTTCTTCAGTTATCTTAAATTCATTCACTTAGATGCATACTGTTGTTGAGGACCTGTGGTGTTTAGAGTGTTGGTCACCTTTTTTAGGGTCAACATGTCAAAACAGTGTCTATAACAAAGGAAGTGCTCACTTCCTTCCTGAACAGTTTAAAATAATAAATAGAATTGACTGCCTTGATAAATTGGTGTATCACTTTTGATTGCCTATTTTAAATACATTTAACAGGAACATATTTGTTCAAAGATGGCACATCATGTTGATGTAAGCTGTTGTGCATGATTTACTTTTCTGACTTTAGTTATGTGGTATGTGTACGATTGTCGAACTATGGCTGTTGGCTGCCTGAGACTGGTGGGGATTGTAGTCTGTCAGTAGAAAGAAGGCTCCAGATTGACACCCTATATTGGACCACACCAGCATCATTGGGGGTATGCTTCAGTTGCAGGATTAGCAATAAAAAATGTGATTTAGTTGGCACGAGTGTGCAGATTCCTCAATAATCAATTCAGCATGAAAATTATATGGAGCTAATTGAGCCAAAGTTTTTGCCTGCCAAGATATTGCTTTCCCTTACTCACTGTCTTTGTGTAAGTAATTCTTTAAATGGTTGTCACAAAGCGAGCCAAGCTGATATAGCCTGTAAATCTAAAGCAGAAGTGTGTAATAACCAAGACCCTGGCTGGATTACTGCTTTTAGCAATACATCGCTGTAGATAAAACAGACTTAACTATAAGCCAAGGACTTGTAAGCTGATTTAGCAGGATCAAAGTAAATATGCCAGTGTTGTTATGCCACTGTAATAAAGTGCAAAGTTGTTCAAAACACAGAAAATTCAATATTTTGCGACTAGTGAGTTAGCAAGGTCATTTTCTAATATTTAGAGAAGGTTTTATGTGTGTGCATAGTTGTGTATACATTATTACACACACTTAATGGTCACTATATTCATTACACCTTGCTAATACCGGAGAAGAACCCAGTTGACCTCCGTGATAGCTGGCCTTCTTTGTTTTCAACAAGAGGCTCTACTTTTTCCTTTTGTATTTGATCTTTGCTGATTCAATAGTATTCCATAGTTTCAGCAGATAATTCAAGGAGAGAGTGTGAACCTCCTACTGCACTTGATCTTTAATAGTGGCTACCATACATGCCTCTGGGGGAAACCTCTACGTTGGAGTTATGTTTGTAAAGCCAGCATGTTTGGATACCTCCTTGAAGGCATTGTGCATTTTCACACCTTGAGGATTCATTTGAAAATGGCTTGGTGTGGCTGTCAAGGGATGCACATGATTAGCTGTGACATTAAAAAGATGTCTTGTTAACACTGTCGAGGATAAACCCATTCAATGTAAAACCAAATTATGCACTGTACACATTTTTATAATAATTTTGTCATGGTTTGCAGTCTCCTCTTCCTGGTTTTAGCTGAGCGTAAGGAAAGCACTATGATGCCCCTATACATATACTATGCTGGGAATTTCAATTAATTACCAGGTGAAGTTAATTCCAAGTTCTAGGCCAAGCTGAGTTATCCTGACAATGTCCAGTTCACTGTCCTCTGCTTGTTTTAACATTTGCAGCCATGCTGCTGCTTTGGACAGTTTGCTCAGATCTCTTACTGTTGCACTTTTTATTATAAGAAACATAAAGGTGTTTTGAACCTGGTTTGTTCTTTGTAGCGATGTCACAAATAAACAGTGATTTAGTGATAAACCGTTTTCGAGCAGTTGAACACTAAAGAAGAGTCCCTGGCCACCCAAGCCCTGCCCCTACTGGAGGTATGGCTAATTCAGAGATTGCACACTTCCTTATAGACTTACCAATCCATTCCTGTAATAGGTGGAGTGAAAGAGATCAGTTGACACTGACAGCCAATCATAGCCAGTCATTGCTGCTCAACCTTGTGCTCCCTTATTACCCCAGTAGCTCAGATGGGATTGGCTCTTGGGTGGTCTCATTAAGCATTAAAGCTGAATGGAAGAACAGTATCAGGAGACTCCAGATGGTATCACCACTTCCAAGAGATGAAGTGGTTACATTGCCTAAAGTGTCCCTTTAATTATCTTGTAATCCAAGAAGTCCAAATGAGATGGATTCATATTCTGTGCATTATTATTATTGTTCTATAGGAGGTTTCCTGGTTACACAGAGAATGCTCGACATGTTCAAGCGTCCAACTGACCCTCCCGAGTATAACTACTTGTACCTTCTTCCTGGGGGTGTCTTTGTTGGAGGATATGCTGCTGCCCTTCATAGCGGTTATAACATTGAGCAGGTAAGTAGAACCTTAGCATTGAGCACTGGCTTCTATCTATGAGAATTATTTTTTTTTCCACCTCCATTCAGTATCTGCTTTGGCTGCTAATATTTCATTCCAAATAAAGGTTGTTTGTGAGTACTCTTCTTTGTATGTGGTTTGAAACCTTGACATTACCGTAATTTATCGTTTCACTGTGATCAAAAATACTTTATACTTAATAAAGAGAGGAACTCCTGTAAACTTGTCACTAACAAATTAAAATATACTGCAATACTTAATTATTTTGCCCTTACAAATATAAGAAAGACTGAATAATGTGCAGAAAATCTAATAGATGTCATATTGTTGCGATTAAAGTACAAATTGTACTGATTGTTTCAAATGCCATCAGGTTTCCTGCCAATGTCCACAAGTAATATATTTTAGCTTCCTTGTCACAAGAACTGATTTCACTGTTGTGGAGTACTTGCTACTTTCTGTCGAAGTGAACACTGTATCAATTGTTCACTTTTATAATTCATCAGGCATCATATCAGACTCCTTGTCATACATTTTTACGTATTCTGCCAAGGTCCAAGTCGAAAAACAGATTCAATGGCTTGTCTTTAGTGTTCAAAAATTGTCTTTCTTTATAATTTACCCCATTAAATTCACAATGATAACTATGGAAAAATAAATGTACTTTTAAACAAGCTACCTATCACCCTTCTCCTTTTTTGTTGGCTCACAGTACAGTTTTGCGCAGCTCCTTGCTATGGAAAAAGCTATGAGCTGATCCCTATTACTGTTAGATGAAGCCTGGGAGAAATACCCTGATCATCCCTCAAGTAACCATTACCTTAATTATTTCATAAAGCGAACATTGTGTAAACTCTGACTAGCATTAACATATCTCTGTATAGCAGAGAGTGCTATGAGCTGATCGCAGCCAAAGTAATCCTAAGTTAAGCAGTGGCTGCTTCTACGAACTGATAGATCTGTAGCACTCTGCTCTAAAGCTATGTATTTAGTTCATTTAAGGACACTATTGATGGTAACTTTCTAATAGCCACAAAGTCAGTTTTAGTTTTAGGCTGATTGTTAAAGCAGTCACTAATGTCAAGTCCATCCTAATGTCAAATAATTCTAAATTTGTGCTATGATGTTAACAGTTTCTCATCGTGACACAATTCCATGGCACCTTGAGCGTTCTTGGGTGCAAGACGTAGGTGCACTGGGATTTGTGCCATCAGTATAATGTAATACCAAGTGAATATATTTTACACGACGTTGAAGGAAACCCCAACATGAGGGGAACAATGATTACAATGGATTTGCCTAACCTTGGTCCTGAAGGGGTTACAGCCTAAGGAAAGTCTTCATAACAATCTGGTCATTAGAGACCCTACTCTGCCACAAACATTGTGCTTGTTTAGTATTCGCAATGCATTAGTCAATAAGGGGTTAAGACCCTCTGAAGCTAATTTAATTAATAGCTTGGAAAAAAACAGAATTTCATAAGCATTAAAGAATCCAGTCTTGCCAGGACTTTTGCAATCCCTAAATGTCTGAAACAAGATATTAGGTGAAATTAATACAAAAAAAGTGGATTTCAGGGTCTCATCTGAGGATTTGTGTTAGAACAATACTTAGGAAACCAGCCAGCATTGCTCCCAATTATACTTTTTGTGTTTTCTGCCAAATCTGTTGAAGGGACCCAGTTTAACATTTTGATTGCCAAAGGTAGTTGAGAAATTAACTATCATGGCACATGTTGCTCAGTCCCCCATCTTTCCCCATTTCACTGGTGCACCATGGGTTAAATGCTTGACCTTGCTCCTATATGTCTGTGTTAAACTATTATACACAATAAGCTTAGTTGTCTGAAAAAGTCATGTTTATGTTTAGATGTTCTAGACTAGATTATATTATTTAATAGTATTACTATGCTTGTTTAACATGCTGATATATAATAGCCTGCCTCGAATGTGCTGTGAGGCTTATGTTTGTTTGCTTTTCTCTAACTTATTTAAAATCCACATTTAAAGCACAATCCCTTTACATGCTTTTAAAAACACATTTTTATAGCCGATATCATATTTTTACAAGCACCAGTGGACCTGATCAGTGGCTTGTAGGAATTAATTACTAAATGAGGAAAAGATGCTAGATTTAAGTCCAGAATGCTGAGCTTGCCAAACTACGGTATTTTTGGCTTGATTTTGTAGCTTGTTTGTCAACTCTTCAAAATTTTAATATTTAGGTACACTAAACTTACAAAATATATAAAATACAATTTAAAATTGATATCAAGTAGTTTGAATGTACTTTTCTCAACTTTTGACAATTGTAAGCAGCGATGGCAGCCTTGGTGCCACAACCACTTTTCCTTTTATACTGGATTAGAGTAATGGGAAATGTAGTTTAAAACCTCTGCTCAATCACTACTCAAAACACTACAGAATTTCCTACAGGTAAATGTGGGAATTGGAAATGTAATGTTTGAGTTTCTTAGTTTAGTTTAAATATTAATGTTTATTCCGTTTTGTGTTTGATATGTATGCTATGCCGACAAATTTTAGCACACGTTTCCTCAAAAAGAAAAATGGAGTTCTGTCCCAGAATATACGCTGGTTAACCACATACAATGTGTACTTGTCTTAGTGATAATTCAAATAGAGCTTTTAATAATATAAACTACAAAAATGTATTGATATTTACCAACGGATTTCATGGTGTAGCTTGTAAATAATGTGTATATATGTTGTTCATTACAAGATCTGTTTAAGTCCGAATGCCATAATACTGGTTCATTGATGACTTTTTATTTATTTTTTCAGATGATATACCTGGGTTCTGGCCTTTGTTGTGTTGGCGCCCTTGCTGGTCTCTCCACTCAACGAACTGCACGTCTTGGTAACTCCCTGGGTATGATGGGAGTCGCTGGAGGTATTGTTGCCACCCTGGGTGCCCTTAAACCTAGCCCAGAACTGCTTGCACAGATGTCTGGAGCATTGGCACTTGGTGGCACTATAGGTAAGTGTATTACAACTATGAAAGCTTAACAATCACTGTGTATGTATATGTTATCAAACCTGGCATTGTCTGTTCTGTCTGGATTACTGCTTTGATGTGAGGAGGAGTTATTTTAGGAGGAACATACTCTTTGATGCGATTGCATCACGCCTGCCTTGCTCTAAGGCATGTTGCTGACTTGTGGCTAGGTAGAGCGTTGGAATTTCATGCTATAGATGGTATGATCACTGTACAAGTCTTTTATCTGGAAACCGCTAATAATCAAGAATGCTGATAATTGTCTGTCAGTCTGGTTGTACTCCGCTCCTCATATGTCAAAGAATGTTTGCTCTTAAAGGAACACTAATTTAAAAAAAACAAAAAAAAACCCCCCCCCCCTTCTTACTAATTAGAAATGTTACAATTATTTTAATTGACTCCCTCCCTTCCTCCAAAATAAATAAATAAAGCCTTTAAACTTGCCTTTATTCCAGCCCCAGGGCAGTCTTCTTATTGCAGCCAGATCCTCATCCTAACTTTTGTCCAACCTGATGCATCCTAGAAAAACATTGAGGAATGCATACCAAGCAAATATATGGAAAGCACTGAACCTTCTCATTGAGAAGTATCAGATACACACAGCATCCAGTGTTGGCAGACTTTGCATGCTGACTCTGGATGTCAAACAGATTTGATATCTGAATTAATATCTGTTGCATCCTCCTAGTGATTGATTGTTTTACATCCTCTAATAGGCCAGAAAATTGCAAAATGTAAACGATGCCATTTCTCAGATATTATAGTGATTTTGATGCTTTGTGTCCTTGTAACATTTTTCATAAATCCACCTCTTTAAATAAGGCAGTGTATGGCCAAGGTTGGCATTCTCCTGATACTCATTCTCCTTCTAGGCCTGTGTTCATTGATGCTGAAAATGTATTAAACTGGTCTAATGAGTTATACAAGTTATGCGCATTATGTGATCATTTTTATTGCACCTAATATGCCAATGGGCAGGTAGACCTTGAAATTTTGGTAATAATGACAGATTTCTGTGCATTTAAATAACCCCTCTAACCTTCTCCTCTAACCTATCTTTCCAGCACCTGTATGACCTGTAAGTGGGCCTACAATGTTCTACTACTTTTTATTTGTTTTGCCCAAACTGCTACCATTAAAAAAAAATAAAAAAAAATAAAACTCACTAATTTAATCTGCTTGCTACAATTATATGTGGACCATGTATATTCTAAATGTGATGCTGTAGCAAACGGAGCAGTTTGTTCTCTGAAAGGGTAAAGTGAATGGTGGATTTTTCATTCTTTTTATTTATTTTTTTTGTTAGCGTTTGTATTTCTTTGCCCAGATTATTTCTGAAAAGCGAATGGCTAATTGTTTTCTGTTCCCACTCCCATCAACAGGTCTGACTATTGCCAAGCGTATCCAGATTTCAGACCTACCACAGCTTGTAGCTGCTTTCCACAGCCTGGTGGGTCTGGCTGCTGTTCTCACCTGCGTTGCAGAGTACATGATCGAATATCCCCACTTTGCAACAGACCCTGCAGCAAACCTCACAAAGATCGTGGCATATCTGGGTACCTACATTGGTGGTGTGACATTCAGTGGCTCCCTCATTGCATATGGGAAGCTGCAGGGTAAGTCTCAAACGGTTTTGGTTTCTTGGTAATTTCCTAGTTTACTTTTCCTATTTGCTCCCTCCCTTTCCATATTCCCATTGCCAAGTTATTCAGCATTAAACAAACATGGTTAAATAGTGAACCTTGAGGCTTATTCCAAAAAGACAACTGGATGGAATGAGTTCTGCTCCAGGTGTTCTAAACACACATGTCTGGGAACAATTTACTGTTTCATGCCATGTTTTGTTTAAGTTGTGTCTCGTAGTGGGTGTTCTTTCTGTACACGAGGTATAACGTGCATCGCGGCGCCACAATTTTTAGTTCGCCTGCCCAACTTTTGCAAGCTCCCTGCAACCTGCTTCTTAAGGGGAGAGGTAAACAATCGCCACACTATAAATAATCGTGCTTGGTTCTCTTTGTAAAATACTCCCATGTGTTTCCTTTAAGTAGATGTTTTGTATTTAAGCATTACAAATTGAGGTTTTGTTTTCAGGACCCTCCATGCTATCTTTTGTAATGTATGCAGGAGATTATTGATAGTGCTGTTGTCGTTCATAATTTATGTACTGGTCCTTTTCAGCCCAACAGCAATTTATCTTCATTTGAACAAAGAGGAAACTTTAGATCTTTTTGCTATTAAAAACACACGCGTATACACGCACACGACAAGTAATACTATTGAGTAGATATAAATTGTTTATATACGTAGAGCTGAAAGATGTGATCTTGCTAGTGCTGACTGTTTAACTATCCCATGGAGCTACGGTTCCTTGGTAGCTCATTCCTGCAATAAAGAAAGTATAATGCTTACATATACTCAACAAAGTTTAGCGGTGTATTGTAAAATTAAATATATACTGCATTATGGAAGAGATATAGGCAAACTAATTTAAGTATGTAAAATAGAAGTATCATTAATGCCTGTGGGGTTCCTTTTCACACAACATAATACCTGGCAGTATATAAATTGCAATAGACCCCTACACGCCCCTATTACACCCCATTTAAATATATATTGGGCTTTATTCAATAAAGTAAGTTGTGATGAACTGAAATCTAAATTTGAAAAGTTTAGGACAAAGTAGTCAAGCTAAGTAATATTGCTGATGTTGAATACTTTTTTTGTGCATAAATATTTTGGTCTATTTTGGTTTTTTAATTATCACAGTGAATAAACCACTATATTTTCTTTCATCAACAATACTCGACCAGGTTCTCATCTGGCTAAGTCACAAGTTCTTTGGTTACAGTCAGGTGCACCTGTCTCCTAGGTGTTTGATAATCCACTTGTGAAATTACGCTGGTCCATAATATTTTTACTAGGATGCCAAACAAAGGAATGTACAAGCATTTTAAAGGTGATCATTCCTCTTTAAGAACCGACTTCACAAGATGTGCATTTGGAGACTCTCCCAGAGCTTATTAAAATGTGTTTGCATTATATGAAGCTGCAACATAACACACATCTTGCAAATACGCCTCTAGGCTATGGTATCCAGGTTTATAGGTCTGTATCTTGACCTGCTAATAATCTTCAGGGAGTTATAGGGCCAATTGTATTATTAGTCATCTGGAAGACACACACCTGTTTTTCATTTGGGTCTGGGCTTGTTAGTAAACTGGTGTAGTGCTTGTAAGATACAGTAAATGATACTGATTAATTGTCAGCTAGTTGAAAGTGGGGGAGGGAGACGTCCAGTGAGGTCATTAGGAATTCTGGTAGCTGACCCCAATATGTACGTTGCCGTTTGAATGTCATCAGCTAATGGACCTTGTAAATTAACCTTAATATTCTTGTTATGCACAGGTGTGTGTATAGAGCTGAGCAAACTAAATGTAGAGTATCCCAACACATTTCTACCTGGACACCTTGAGTCAAATGTGACAAAAGGGAATTTCTAGGACATTAACTTGCCTGAATTAGGTACAGCTTATTGTAGAAAAGGTGGCCTGAGTCTGACATGTGACTATTGTGGCTTATGTGGCGCACACACACAATCACCACAGCTGCTCTGCAATCTTTGTAGGTTGTGGTTAAATCCAGGAGGGGACACATTGATAGATCAGGTTCACAAAGAGATAACTATAGGCAGAGGAATTTTAAAGGTACAGTACCCTACCCTGTGAAGGACTACATTAACATGTATCCATTCACCACCTATTGTGGTTTTGGTTTTTAAGTGAATAAACATCACCATAGCGTTCTTTCTTATTCTCTTTGATATATTTTTGTGCCATGAGCAGATCATTGTTTGGAGAATTAACTAGATTATCTATTCATCTATTTAGTATTTACGGAAAATGCATAATTTTGATGGTTCAGTTCAAACGTAATTATATATTTTTAAAAAAATGCAAATAACAAATGCCAAGGAACGCCCTTCTTTTTATTTTTTTTTTTTTTTTTCTCCAGCTTTGAAAAGCTTGAAAGAGCCCCCTTTTCTGCATTTTCTCTCATTATTGTATTATTTCTACAATCCTTTCCAAGCAGGCCTTAATGCAGAACATATGATTGTTGATTATCCCATGACCAATTTAGTGAGTGTCTCTGCTTTTATAGTTGCACTTTGTTTCTCTGTACATGCCATCGTTTGCACTAGCCTGATGTTACTTCAGCGTAAAGTAAATATTTACCCAAATAAATTTAAAATGCACACCCAAATCTTCGTGCTGGAGATGGTACTAATTATAGTCCTATGAGAATTCAATTCCTTTTGGCAATTGTGTTTAATACAAATAGTCCTTTAAATGTATTTCTGCTCTATATAAAACACCATACACAATCACATTGGGCAGCAGAATGATATCAGAAATAAAACCATAAAACAATTATTTATGGATCTTCTCTTTGAAATATATACATAGAATTTTATTATGGATATATGGCCACCTTCACCTTATTTAATTGTGGGTATGAAGTAGGTAAAAAAGTGCAAAAAACTAATTACAAAAATTACCTTTTTAAATCAATTCAATGCAGCTGATATGATCTACAGCAAATGTCAAATGATTAATGAAATTAACATTTCTCCTGCATGGTGTGTGTCGGTAAATTGTGTTTTTAGAATATAAAATTTATGCTAATAGTGAAGTTATTCCCATGAAAGGAACACTCCAAGTACCATAAAAACTTTGTTTGAACAATGTTGTTATGGTGCAGCCGACTTGCCTTTAGGGGTTAAGCCATTACCGAACATGTTTAACCCCAAAGTCTTCAGCGCCGTTTAGCTCTGCCCCTTCCTTCCACTTGTCTGAGATTCCAAACCAAATTGGTAGCTCCCCAAAAAACAGGTTTGCGAAAAATATGCACGTTTCCTATGGTTTAATCCCTAAGGGTAAACAAGTGCAAGTGACCTTCTGGCACTATGATTCCAATGAAGTTGTTAGTGTCCAGAGTTACCCTTTAATGAACAGGTGATAATGTATAGATCATCTTCGAGCAACCTTGGGTGCGGATCTCTAGCAGAATTAGTACACACCTGTTTTTGTCTGCCCAAAATTAGCAGGAGTTACAATTCTGAGCTTTACATGCCACCATTTTAATCAGAGAAACAAAATGGCTGCTGCCTGTCATGGTAACTCCCCCTGAAACAGGGGTCTTGTTTCTTCAGACCCTTCGATGACATTATTTTCCCATAACGCAGCTTTGCCATTATTTATCATTTACATTGTGATGCTTTTACGTTAGATTTGTTCTATCTCCAGAAACCCTTGGCTGGCCTCGTTTTGCCTCGCTATGCAGCTTACCATTATTGAAAATATTTCTTATGTATATGTACACTATTTACTAGACTATAAGAGATTTCTTGTGTTTTTTTTTTTTTTTAATCAACCACTCATTCTGTCTTTATAGGTGTTCTTAACTCTGCCCCTCTCCTCCTGCCGGGAAGACACGCCATGAATGCTGGTTTGCTAGCTGCTAGCGTTGGGGGCATGATCCCTTACATGTTAGATCCAAGCTACACAACTGGCCTTACATGCCTTGGCTCTGTGTCTGCGCTCTCAGCAGTTATGGTAAGTGGAGCGATTAAGCTATAATAGTGAAAATGGACAAGAACATAGTTTCAGGCATATAATGACTTTCTGTTATAGTTGTTTTGAGTTTAGAAGTAGCTAAACATTATTTTTACTTGTCTGATAAACCACTTACTACTACCCCACCACCAACAACTTTTCTTTAGACTGCCTTGTAGGTAGAACTTTACCACAGAATAGTAATTAAAGATGCACTTTAAGCACCATAACCACTGCATCTTATTGTAGTTCTAATGTTGCAAAAAGGTTGTGGAATCTCTTTATATCAAGGGATATCTGTCAAGGGACATCTGTGAAAAGACACGTCTATTATCATTTTGTTTCTAACTTAATACTATATCAAGAACTATTGGTTCTTTGAAGGGTAATATTTAAATTCCCCTCAGTCTAATAAATTATGCAATGCAAAACTACTTGTTGACTGATGTCATCTGTCTCTGATCAGCAATGTTTGGCTACCCTTTACGTCTAATACTGCCCAACACACTGGTTATGTGCTGATAACTGTTTGGCAGGAGAAGATAAGCCTTTACCCTGTTGCATAATAAATATATTTATTAAAGACGTGATCAGAGCTGTGTGTGTATTTGATTAGGAATTCTGTCTTCTTGTGTGGATTCCATTGGTTGTACACTTTGCAGAAATGTGTTTGCAAAATATATTAAAGTGAATAATTCCAATAATTAACATTCCCTGCTGGAATACGCATAATGGTTACGCTATTGTCACGCGATGCAATTTGCGATGCAATTAGTACTGTGATGAGAACATCATACTTTTTGTACATTTGCAATTACACAGCCATCGGTGAGCATATCAAGCAGCAGAATCTGTTGTAATACTGTTTTATTAATGTAGGTAATGGAGGGTGGGGGGTGATTAGTATTTTGATGATGAGCAAGGGTTAAAGTAATGCGGTCAGATGCCTTAGATTGAAAGGGATTTGTAAGGAAGTCGCAATTTGACATCAGGAAGGGCTTAAACATGGAGGGTCAAGGAAAGTGTTTGTTTGTGAACTGGTGAAAAAAAGCTCTCCTGGTCATTTATTTAGAGGGGCACTATAGTCACCAGAACAAATACATCTAATTGTATTTGTGCTAGTGAGTATAATCATTCCCTTCAGGCTTTTTGTAGTAAACACGGTCTTTTCAGAAAAAAAGGCAATGTTTACATTACAGCCTAGGGATACATCCACTGGCCACTCCTCAGATGGCTGCTAGAGGTACTTCCTGGGGCAGTGCTGCACATTGAGCATCACTGCCATCCATTGTCTCCTCCCTCTGCATGCAGACACTGAACTTTCCTCATAGAGATGCATTGATTCAACCCATCTGCATGAGGAGATGCTGATTGGCCAGGGCTGTGCTTGACTTGTGTTGGCTCTTCCCCTGATCTGCCTCCTTGGCAGTCTCAGCCAATCCTTTGGGAAAGCATTGTGATTAGCTCAAAGAATCACTTCTGATGATGTCAGCCAATCGGTAGATCTGGGCAAACCCAGCAGCACCAAACTGGAATAAAAGTACCATTTTACTATATTTAGGGGTGAAAGAGGGGGTCCTGGGGGGCTAGTTTGAGGTTTTAATATTATAGGGCAAGGAGTACATGTTTGTGTTCCTGACCCTATAGTGTTCCTTTAATGCTATGTTGTGATTTTAAAAAATATATATATTTATAAACCCACATGTTGCAGCAGAGTAATCTCCTAAACTGTTCCTGAACACAGGCAAAGAGATTTCAATGTATTAACACTATGAATTGGTGAATGCTTCGACAGTGAGGACTTTGGGAGTGGACTCCATTAGAATGCATTAAGTGCATATTCCTGTATATTGGCATTATTTTTGAAACTTGTCTTTTTTTCCCCCCCTGTGTAACATGCATTGTGTTCTCATAGGGAGTAACACTCACGGCTGCCATTGGAGGTGCTGACATGCCTGTTGTTATCACGGTTTTGAACAGCTACTCTGGATGGGCTCTGTGTGCTGAAGGATTCCTGCTAAACAACAACTTGCTGACCATCGTTGGAGCTCTTATTGGCTCCTCTGGAGCTATCCTGTCCTACATCATGTGTGTGGTAAGTTCATCTGCTCTCCCAGAGTTATTTTTCATTGATTTTATTTATTTATATAAATATCACATGCAAAAGAAATATCATAACATATAATGGTTAAAAAATAATAATAAATAAATAAATAAATAAAAAAAATATATATATATATATATATATATATATATATATATTTTTTTTTTTAGATCATTTTTATATAAACATATGTAGCCATGTACGAACTGAGAAGAGTCATAAAAACCAGGCAATCTGACAATTTTAATGATGACAAATACTGATATGATAAAGCCACCTTACAATATTATCTAAAAATATATAGAGACTGTAGAGGACTTTTTGGATATTGCGGACTGTCAGTGGCGCTTAACTGGTTAAGTCATCCCAGACATTTTCAGGGTAATTAGGCCCCTTTTTAATTGTTTGGTATAATTTCCCTTTAAACTTTAAGTAACCTATGCAGTTTGGAGAATGCCTTAAGTACACGCAGCTCACGACAATCCCAGATGCACAGACTTGCTGGAGAAGGAGTTAAATTGGACTCTGTCCTTTGATGTCAGGAGTGGTTTGATGAGCAGGGGAAGCATGTAAAATAGGAAATTGAGAAGATCTGTATCAAATTTGTGGCAGCCTTCAATGTTGTGTGCTTTTAATCAGTGTCATTTCTAATTGGTTTACTTTAAAGCTTACAGATAACACAGCATTTGTTTACCTTCAAGTCATGTAATGGTTATTCAACTAATTTTAATTGGTGGATTTGTTCGGCTATGTTGTTAAACCTAGTTAAAATCAAACAAATTTAAGGTCTCTGTTTGCATGGGCTATGGTCTGTTTAGACATAGCCAGTTGCCTATAAGAAAATATTATTTTGTTGAATGTCGGCTTCCTCAGTTTTGCATATTGTTATAAGAGGAAAAGCCCGATGAACTGATCAAGTGGTGTCAGAAGTAAAAAGAGGTCACCATTAGTCTGATGGTTTTGTCATCGAAATGTTCAGCATTTGTGATAGAAAAACTACTAGGGTACCACTGGCATTCAAAAGGATAGTTATCGTCTCCCCCATGGTTCAGAGGATTAGGGGTATATCTCCCAAACATAATTTGAAAATTAATTAAAACTGTTATTTCTCTGATCTTCAGAATGCATTTGAGTATATTCTTTCCTTTTAAGTAACTATGCAGTAGAATTCTGTATATTCCATAAATACAATGCAATGGAACCAGATTTGTAACTGCAATACAAGTAAAGGGATGCTCTGGACCAAGTAGGTTCTATAGGTTTTGGCCTCATTAGTATGCTGTACTCTGTGCATGCTTAAATCTTAATAGCTTTTGCACAAAAGAAAAACCCCAATTGTTTTGCAGAATGCTGCACTGTAAGTCTGCCTTCTTGGCCACATCCCCTCATTCAAGAACAATACTTCCTTCTCAAATGTACATACACAGCTCATCCACTGACTACACAAGTAATCTGAACTACAAAGAAACCTGCATTAGAAGATGAGCATAGTCAGGGAGGAACATCAGTGCCTATTTAAAGCTTCTATGACTATCTGCAGTCAACGTGTGAATTAAAAGCAGGCCACACAGCGCTATTAGAGGCTGAGCTTTTCAGAGGAGGTGTGGCTAAGAGGAAGGCTTCTGGTGCAACATTCTGCAAAACATGTACCGGTATGTTTTTTTTCTTCTTCTGCAAAACCTAGAAAGAGTAGAACATTAAAACAATAGCCCATATTAATGAAGTAAAAAAAAAAAAAGTAAAATGCATTACATGAACACTCTACCTAAAGCCTTTAAAAAAAAAAAAAAAAAATATATATATATATATATATATATATATATATATATATATATATATATATATATATATATATATATATATTTTTTAGGTTTTAATACTGGCAATATTGGCAATTTTATAAATAAACCATTTTCAATTAACCGGTCCTGTTACTTCCAGGCTGTTTAACTCCGTGGAGATAATCACAACAGGCAGCAACTGCTCAGAGCATCTGCCTTGCAACAATTTTGGGAAGTCTGATTGGACAGCCACAGAGAATCTGAAGAAAGGGAGGGCTTGCAAAAAAAAAATATAAATCAGGATTTTTAAACGTAAATACTAATTCTTAAAGGGACACTATAGTCACCCAGACCACTTCAGCTCAATGAAGTGGGCTGGGTGCCAGGTCCCCCAGATTTTAACCCTTCAGATGTTTACATTGCAGGTTTATTCCAGCCTCTAGTGGCTGTCTTCCTGACAGCCGTTAAAGGCACGTATGCGACGCTTGATGCGAAAATCGCATTCAGCGTGCAAAATGTCCATAGGAAAGCATTAAGAAATGCTTTCCTATGGACAGTTTGAAGGTGCACGGCTCTTGCCGCGCATGCGCATTCCGCTCCACTCGGGAGCCGACGTCGGAGTGGGAGGAGAGGTCACCAGCGCCGAGGGAGCCCGGCGCTAGATTAATGTAAGTAACTGTAGGGGTTTTAACCAAGGTGAGGGGGACCCTGAGGGGGGGGTTTAAGGGTTGTATAGTGTCAGGAAAACGAGATTGTTTTCCGGACACATAGTGATTCTTTAATGGTTGTTACAATCTTTTAACATATGCAACCAGATGAACATTTAATATTTACAATAATACACTTTTATGTCAGAACTGATTTTTGTTATATACCACTAGAAACACATAAATAATAAGGAAATGATTGCAAGGTGAACGGTCTCCAGGTTAAGGGTTTAATCACTCATATTTGGGCTTGAATTGTAACTAAAACAATAATATTATAAAAATCATACATATTTTTTTTTTTGTTTAAACATCAATTTTTGTTAACTGAAGTAATTAAATATCTTGAAGCAATAATAATAATAATTTCAACTGCAATGGTTTGCCCTCTTATTTGGGTTCCCACCAAGCTTATGCTGAGCTGCTAAAGCCAACGCTGATCCATCGGTCACAGTACTTTCGGTCACCGAATGACCCTCTGTTCCAAGAATATGCAGAGTATTGACATTTGCCAGCTAATGGTGTACTAATTAAGCTGCCGAACGTGGTATTACACCTCTGAGAGCAGCATAAAATATCTTAATATGGGCAGAGTTTCATATTGAAAAAAATGCACATACAGACTTAAAGCACCATGAGCACTTTAAATCACTCAAGTGGTCATGGTGCTTAGAAAACCCTTTAAAGTAAGGTGTATAACATTTTGCTGTAAAAAGGCGCATGTTCTCTCTGCAGACACCAGTTCAAGTAACATAGATTAATTGAATAATTCACAAAAAAATGCAAATATTGCTTGAATACACAGCTACATAGCTAATCCGTATTTCATGCTGAATAACCTTTGCACTATAATGTAGCTTAAATAGAAAAGTACCTTTTCATATTTTTTTTAAAAGAAATCCGGTTTAAATGAAGAAAGAAAAAAACTGGTCCCAATCAGTATTTGTGTGTATAATTTTTATTTATTTTCCCATCTGATTTCCAATAATTGCTTTGCTAGCAACATTATCCTCGACTGGACCTGCCACACAGGGGCAGCAGTAAAACATTGAATATCGTTCTCACATTGTAAGCCACTCAACTCCTTGAGATAATCTGTTGCAGATGAGGAGGTGACAGTTAAAAAATTTTGATTGCTCCAGCATTCTTTTTGGAGAACATTTCTTATGGCAAGCTCCATGCATACGTCTTGCATTATTTAATGCTTTGCGTGCCTGGGGAGACCTACAAGTGGAGACTACCAGCATTGTGTTTGTCACTTTGTGTTTGATGAAGCACACAGACAGGCAGTGACTCGGGTCAGTCTGGGGCCAAAGATTGCACCAGGATTATGATCGAAGTACAATAAAAAGTTGTAGTGATTTGTGTCTATACCAGTTTAAAGGAAGGCTCAAAAGTTAATTTCCCAGCAATTGGCTAGAGAATATTTTGCCCTGGTGAGTGAGCCATTGTCTCACTAGGCTTACTGTTGTAAGTACAATTTAAGGCCTGACTAGTAGCCTAGGACGTGACATTTTAAGACCTTCATTCAGGATTGTGATATTTTTCATATTTTTTTTCTTCAAATGATTTGGCATAAAAAGAGTAATTGTTTAACAATTTGAATGACAGACATACACTATGTATTACTCTGTGACACTGAGCTAAAGATGTGTTATAAAAATTGAAAACTGCAAAAACTGCTATTTCATTAAAACATCAAATGCAGTAAAGTGTCTTAGTTGTGTTATTTGTCTTGTCATTAATTTTTAATAGCTAAATTTTCATAGCTGAGAAGGCATCACAAGGAAAGGAAATATTTAGAATTTGTCCAGTCCTTCATTTTGTCAGTTTTTACTCCTCTCTGTGTATTCATAAATATGTTCTATATTTCTGCATTGATGTCCAGGCTGTTGCACTCAACCCCCCAAACATATATAATGAATAAGACATACCCGGGTGCTTCCTAGCGAAATATAAACAAAGTAAAGACAGGAACACTATGTGAAAGTTTTGAATATGTTTGGAAAAACAGAGTGAGTGCCCCTGTCTTTACTTTGTCTATAGTTCTGCATTTCCTTTCACCAAATACCTAAATATTATCCTACTTCCGTCCCTGCTCACATTTTAAGATGATCTGTTTGAGATAGTGAAGCTAGGGATTGCTTGCTCAGCTATCTGCAATGAAGGGGGCAACGTTTCTCATAGTGGGTAGCTGACACCTACATACAGAGGGCTTTGTTCCCTCATTAACTTGGTGGCTGGCTTAAAGAAACCTAAACCCCATGTGTGCTGTACTGATGACCTGGTCATAATGCATCAGTAGGAGTTGACAGAAGTCCGAGTAAGGGATCGCCATTAGCTTTTGATAAGTCGCCTCCTAGTGTTAAAAAAACAAAACAAGATAAACCATGGTTTTGATTTGAATCTTACATTTTACCTACATATACATGACATATATCAACATTCAATAGAACATTTCATCAACAGGCTAATCATTTTGATAATTAGTATTCCCAGTCCTTCAGTTTAAAGTCCTGTTTATTTTACCTGGCTCACCTACATGTTAAAAATCCAGTGGGACACTTAATACCTATGTATGATACAGGTTAGAGACTTCTAACTGTGATTCTATATATATATATATTTTTTCTTTCTTACACAGGCAATGAACCGATCCCTTGCAAATGTTATCCTTGGGGGTTATGGAACAACATCCACCGCTGGAGGCAAGCCCATGGAAATCACTGGTACTCACACAGAAATCAACTTGGAGAATGCAGTTGAGTTGATAAAGGAAGCAAACAACATTATCATCACACCAGGTATGGTATGGATGAGAGGGAGAATAAAACCCCAAACCAAGTGGCACTAAAAGAAATTTGATGCCCCTAAATTTAACAGAGTTCTTTTCGGGTTTCTGATTTGTTCTAAAACTAACGTTAATCTATTGTGGTTTTTCTGTTATTGTTAATTGTGGCATAGTTTGCCAGAACATTTTCACTGAATGCGTAAGGTCATTTTATTTTAAAAGTATTTGTATGAATAGTTAAACTGCAAATGCAAGTAACTGTTATTTAAATTACAAAAAATAAAAAATGAATAGTGGACATAGCACATGTTATACATATTATGCTTTAATTTAGGCATAATCTCCTGGCACCATAACTTAATTTCAATTGCGTTGTTATGGTGTCTAAACTGGTCCTTTAATGGGATAGAGTTATCTAAATGTAGACATTTGAGATAGGAGTAGAGCACATATTAAAAGCTTGCTCCTATCTCCCCACGATAAGGAGTGGTATGTTTGTGGCTAATCCATTTATCTTTTGTGCCTTCTCCAGGTTATGGTTTGTGTGCTGCTAAGGCCCAATATCCAATTGCAGACTTGGTGAAGATATTAACAGAACAGGGAAAACATGTCCGGTAAGTATAATATGATTTCTTTAAGGAGCAGTTTAGGAATCTTTAAATTTTTTATTTTTTTATTTTTTTTTATTGTTTGATGCATTGTTTGTTTTTTTGTTTTTTTTGTCAAAATGTTTTGGAGAGATTCGAGCACAACCAGGGGACACTGGGGATCCACTGCTTGATCGTTGCTAATGCAACATTGATTCTGTCTATGGTTTTAAGCAATTCATCGGCTGAGTGACTTAGGTCAATCCACACATATACGGTTTGCTCAAGAACCACAGGGAGGCACCAGCAGTTTAATGGCACCATCATTTCTGCATCTAGTGATGATGGCACTTAAATTCCCCTTTTAATGTTAGTCAATTCTGGGTTGTCACTGGTTTATTACTAAAACCAATGGTACTCGCATTAACTGTAGGAGGAGGAAAATGAAATGAAACCTGCGATTTTTGGTCTCTACAGTTGGAGCAGTATATGATGAGATATCTGCTCCCTGCCCCCTAGATGGAATTTTAAATGATACCAATAAAATATTTTTGTGTAATTCACCTGAAACTATTGTCTCTGCTCCTCTGGTTATGTTTGTGTTGGGTACAGCTGTATACCTATTGGATCAACGTGTAAAAAGACTGTAAAAGACTCTTAATTGGGACAAGTATATTTTCATTGCAACACACACCATAAAATGCTTTGAAATAAACCATATTCCACATTCAATTGCATGAAAATCTGGAAATCGCTGGCCCAGCGTGTTGAATGATCAGTGGCCAGGAGTATGATTCATGCCGTTTTTTTTTTTTAAAATACGCTTGAAGTCTATTGCTAAAATAGATGTTTTGGCTGCTCATTGTCAGCTGCAGCTATCTAAATATTTCGATTTTCTTTACCATTTCGTGCCTGTTTGTTCCGTTCCTGTAACCTATTCATATCTGTAGTTCTTTCCATCTGCATGTCAGCAACCAATCTTCCAGCAAAGTTTCCTGTCTTCCTAGAAGGGAAATGTACAGCTGGAGAGATGGTCACAAACTGAACTGCTTATTCTCTTATTTTTGCAACCGCAAAATTAACGCTCTTAAACGATGCTCACCTAATTGCACAGACTTTCCCGTAGTTTTTCGTAGACTACCATATATTTATTTAGAACATAAATGCTCGTTGTCTTTTTTTATTTTTTTCTTTCTAATTACTAGAAAAAAATCTTTCTCAATTTTTGACTTTTAAGCCTGATTTTGACATAGTGATGTACAGTTCTCCTTAGAATAGTTCTTCAGGCGTAGGCTTCACCATGTACTGTGTTCCTTCCTGGATCAGTTGTTTTCCTGTTTATATTATGTGTGAAGGCTTCAGGATTTGTCACTTTTTTTTTTTTTTCTGTTTCTTTTTAAACTTTTAGTTCTTTAACATGTTTGACCGCAAACACAGTGATTCCAGCAAGATTTAATGTTTACAAGGAACGCTTCACTGTTAATCATAAAGCTATATAGTGTATAGAAATGGAAGAAGCAAAAGTACAGATTTATTTTTTAAGTTCTGTTCCTTGCAAGTTTTAGATTTAGCCCCCCCACCTCTAACTAAAATACTGTAAAAATGTATTAAAATCCAGCGCAGTCTCCTCTCTGAAGCATGATCTACATAGATAATCCTTGGCCACCATGCATCACCAATCCAGTTCTTCTCGTTCGTAGAATTCAATGCATGTCTATGAGAAGCATTAGCCATACGTGGCATAAGGAGAAGGTGCCTCTAGTGGCTGTCGGTCTCTTAGCCTGTAGAGACGTGTTTTGGGCCAAATGTAAACCTTGTCACTTCTCAGAAATTGCAAGGGACAGCAGCTATGTACCAACCAGAACCACTTCATGTAGAAGTGTACTTGCACCAGACTCTGTTTAAAGCAGCTGACTAAATTAACAAGAAGACATCTCCTGAATTTTGAGGGGTGGCAGATATTGGGCTACCATTTGGAAATACTGTTTTATTTTCTTTATTTTTTTTCCTCCCCCCACTGTAATATTTGTAGTAGCACAGATAGAAAAAAGATTCAGGAGAGTAGAGAATATTGCAGTTGAAAATATAAAATTTCCCATGTGGTATACACACACCACTGTCTTACGCAGGAACTAAATGAGCAATCCAGGTTGTTTTATTCTAAGTGACCTCCATTCCATTGAATTGCATCTAATCTATAGTATCCGGTTACACACTTTTTGGACATTGCAGAAGCCAGTGACTCTGTGGAATATCATAATATCTTACATTGGAAAGAATGATAAAAAAAGCAGTATGACTTTCAGTTCATGCACAAAAAGAACATCTCCACATGTTTTGGAAATGCTGTTTTCCAGTTTAACTACAGGAATTGCATCATGGGAATTATAGTTCTAATCTGAGGATGTACCTTTTGAGACCCCCAGCTTTAAGGAATGAGATTATTGGGTCTTATCTGTTGTCAGAATCTGTGTTCCTGTATGATAACTCAAGAATGGTCAATTTAATTATCGTCCTTCCTGACTTGTTAAATTGGCCTCCTTCAGCCCATTTTCCACTTTTCATGCTTTCCTTAATGTAGTAGTAACAATGAAACCTAAATCCAGACACTGACTTTGCTTAACCTGTAGTAGCTGACCTGTGAATAGCAAAACCATTCGGAACAAAGCTGCATTATATGGCAACATTTGAAGCTTGGTGGAGATTGTTTAACTTGCTCCTTAGCACCATTAGATTGGGATATTCTAAAAGGTCTGAAAGCATTCTGTATAGCCAGTGGCTATGTCGAAGGTCTGTTTTAAGTTACATTTTCAGACATGGTTCTGGAAGACTACTGATGATCATTTAAGTGGAAAGATGTGCAGATAAAGGGTTAAGTATTTGGATGTTGCCACTTATTCCTATATGGTAAAATCCTGCAATGCTTAATGTAGCTTGGAATTATTTTTGTTCCGAAATGGAACATTTTTAGCATGTAATATTACAGCCGCCTTGCAGATGTGATATACTGTTTCTGTATGGGACACCCGCTAGCCAAGTAATTCTGTAGATATGGTGCTTTTACTTTACAATTTCATAGTGATCAAATTAATTGACATTGTGGATATTATCACGCAGTACTGATTGGGGCATTGAACATTTATCAAAACTTTCTAGGGACACTGCAAACTGCCATTTACTCAATGTTTCATTTATTATGAAGATGATGGCTTAAAGATATGTACAGAATGCTTGGTTGTATAGGGAGAAGTATTAGCAGTAGAAAGAGGGAAGTGCTCATGCCATTGTACAGAACACTGGTGAGACCTCACTTGGAGTATTGTACGCAGTACTGGAGACCATATCTCCAGAAGTATATTGATACTTTAGAGAGAGTTCAGAGAAGGGCTACTAAGCTGGTTCATAGATTGCAGGATAAAACTTACCAGGAAAGGTTAAAGGATCTTAACATGTATAGCTTGGAGGAAAGACAAGACAAGGGGGATATGATAGAAACATTTAACTACATAAAGGGAGTCAACACAGTCAAGGAGGAGACTATATTTAAAAGAAGGAAAAAAAACGAGGACATATTCTTAAAATAGAGGGGCAAAGGTTTAAAAATAACATCAGGAAGTATTACTTTACTGAGAGGGTAGTGGATGCATGGAATAGCCTTCCAGCTGAAGTGGTAGAGGTTAACACAGTAAAGAAGTTTAAGCATGCGTGGGATAGGCATAAGGCTATCCTAGATATAAGATAAGGCCAGGGACTAATGAAAGTATTTAGAAAATTGGGCAGACTAGATGGGCCGAATGGTTCTTATCTGCCGTCACATTCTAGGTTTCTATGAAAAAATAATAAATCTAAATTTCTGCAAATCTGCAGCTTCTATAAAGTTGAAATTATTTCTTCTGTTATCTACAATGTGATTAGCTGTGCATGTCTACTGCACATGTAAACAGTCTCATAGAAAGCGATTAGTAAACCAGTATATAGCTCATTTAGGACTTATACACTTAAGGAGAAATGTAGATTCTCCAAATATACAGTGAACTTATAGGTGGAGCAACTCTTTACACGTATGCAGTAAATATAATAGGATGAAAGCAGACCAGGACCTCCTTGCATTATAACCTAAGTAGAGTAGGTAGTTAGGGTGCTTATAGGAACACTATTCACCCAGACCACTTCATCCCAGTGAAGTAGCCTGGGTGAATTGTCCCTGCCCAATTAATAAACTGTATTGTTTACATTCCAGTGTTACGTCCACCTCTAGCGGCTGTCAGTATGATAGCCAGTAGAGGTGCTTCCACTGCAATGTTTTCCTATGGGGAAGTTTGAAAATGTCCACTATGAGGAGCATTGGATTTGACCATGATGAAGGAGGCCATGCCATCTCAGTGATGCCACTGAAAGCAGGGTGGTAAGCAGCGTGCTTAAATCTCCTATTTTATGAATTATTAATGCATCTGGTGTTGAACAGGGACAGACACTATAGCATTAAGAATACAGATTTGTATTCTTAATGCTATCAGAACACTCTTCCCATAACTCCTTCCCTGCGCCCCCACCCCCTCTCCCCCAACATGAATGGGCTAAATGGCCTTTTTAACAATTACCTGATTCCGGTGCCTTGCACGCATTTGGCTTTTCCCATAGGATAAGCATTAAATCAATGCTTTCCTATGGAGTATTGGATGTCCTCATGCAAAACGTGAGTATATCCAGCGTTGTTTCATAGAGTCAAATTCAGTGAAACAGGGAGACAGCCACTAGAGATAGTCTTAACCCTGCAGTATAAATGCCTGAAATTAATGTGTTTGTAACTGAAGAGGTACATGAGATGAAATGGTCTGGGTGCCCATAGTATCCCTTTAAGGTCTTCTTTTTGAGCTTGTATGTGTTTTCCAGACCAGTCTTCTCCTCCTTTTCCAAATTTTCCCAATTGTATTAACTTATTTAATTTTGCTTTTTTTTTATTTTCATATAGTTATAAATGTTTTTGTTTTGTTTTTGTTACAGTATGCATCATAGGGTTTTGTGTTTTTTGGTTCACTCATTTAGCAAATGTCTTCTTAATGTAGCCAATATGACAGGGTACATACAGTGCCAGATTGCAGATTCCCTAATGTTTTGAAGAAATGGCAAGCTGTGTTTGTGGAACTGATAAGCGCAGCCTGTTTTACGCTGACACGTTTGACACTTGAGCAGCCCAGTCCTAAGTGGCAATGAAAAGCCAATGAAACTTTGAATGAAAACAACGTCTACTACGTTCTTTGATCCAAGCCTTGTGGGAATTTGATCAAAGATGTGTAATTCTGTTCCTGTAGCTCGATGTGTCTAAACTCTACCTAATCATTATAAATGACTTTTAAATGCCCTGTCTGTTTACCTCCATCTGTAAATATACATTTATTTCATATGATTGCTATGTAACCACGACAGGAACCTCTTGTTTAATCTAGGTCTTTCATCATCCTTGTGGAGCTCCCACTGCATTCATTGACTGCAGCTGCTGCTTGCCCTTTTCGTTTTAGTAGATCTGCACTGCCTCAGGACCATGTCTTGCTCGGCCTGCACATGCGGTGACACACTCGTACACACCCACCTTGTACAAACATGCCAACTCAGACATACGGCTGTCATCAATTAGTCATGCCCGTACTTAGCCAAAAAAAGTCTTTTCATCTGTCACAGGGTACCTCGGTGTTCCAACCTACGAAGAATTTAAACACGCTGTTGCCTAATATAACATTTGAATATAGACATAACACTCTGTGCTATCTTGGGCTATTATTCAACATTTGATAACCATAGAGACCGCAAACAGCTTTTATAGTGGCGGCCCAGGCTCTATGTGGTTAACTGCCATGTGGTTATCATTCTCTGAGCTTAGCTGTCAGCAGACATCCACAACAGATGTATTTTAGACCGCAGAAGGTGATCAGGATATGCCGATTCTGAATATTTTGCAGAATAACTTTATTAAAATAATGCAGTCTCATTTAAGGTCAGATTAAAGGAACAGTCCAGGCACCATTAGCACTACAGCTTGTGTGGTAATTAAGGTTGCCTGGCGTTCCCTGGTAGCCAATCAGGGTAAGTAGTGTTTTGTCATGTTCATAATGTAATATAGAGAGGAGCAATGGCAATGATGCTGCACCTCACCCTGCTGCCTTCTCCAGCTTTTCTTGTAATTTGCAATTTTTCAGTCTACCTCTCCTCATACTTTGCATATAATCTGGATAATCGCTGCAATCTTCAACAAATAATTTTTTATTTTATTTTTTACGCAGTGAAGGATATTTGCTTTTTTTTTGGGGAACTACATGTAAAAATTATTTGTGTCAAAATAAATGGCAATATAACTGATGCAGAATTACACAAGGGTATAGCTAAAACTGGGTTACAGCACTGTTATGTTTGAATAGGTGCTGAATATCCATAAAGTCTGCTCCACCTTCCATGGTACATCAAAACCAATCCATTTTACTCTAGTTTAAGTAAAGATAACATTTGTGCTGTTACTAAACATTCGCACTAAGCTGTGTTCTGTGTTTCTTTTAAGAAATGTTGTTGCTTATTCACAAATGCGTATTATTTAATCCTTTGGTCACAGAGCACGACACCCGATATCTGTGCTGTGTTTACAAAGCATTGAAAGGTTTTAGATACATAAACTTGTTATGTTCCAAGCGAAGAGGATAAAATCCACGGCTTAACTTTCAGGAAATCGCTGGAATATTTAAAGCAGGCAGTACGCACAACTCTGAAGACGGGGTCTTCCGCTAAAATGTATTTTTTTTTTTAAAACTACTATTTCGCACGTCTCTTATTTACAGCTTCTTTGGTCATAATAATTTTTACTTGTGACATTTTTTTCACTGCTGCTTTCGCATAGTCCTTTAAGTCCCATGTGGATCGGATTGTGCTGATGAAACAATTATAATAGAATAATTATATTTTACAACAAAACTTGTGCTATAGAGTGTTTGAGTGCTAATCTGTATTGGACAGTACTAATGAATAATTGTTGTTCTTTTCAATATTTGAGATAAATGTAAAAAAACAAAGTTCCTGTAAGCATTGGCTATGGTCCCACAATGTTCTAATTAATTATATTCTTTACACCTGCCTTCATAAATACTTGGGGTTAATTGCCAAACCATTTAAAAACTTGGGGTCCACTGGTTTCTATCTCTGCAGCTCGCATCCTGCCACACTGAGCTGACCTTGGTGGTGCAGCACGTAGGTCATTTTCAAAGAGTGCTCACAGATTCTTTCGGCCAGTGAGCAAGCCCTATTTGTACTTTGCAATAATGTTAAGCAGATATGGTGCCAGCAGTTCTTAACCTCTTGGTCGATCTGAAGTTTTGGTGCCCAATCTATTTCAGTGGGTCCCCAGTGATTAAAACAGTCACAACATATTCATCTTTTCAGGTGCCAACTAATCATAGTGTACTCCCTCCCCCAACACATTTTAAAAAACAAAACAAAAAAACACTTTTTTTTTCTTTCCCCCACCACGAATAGCAACGATTAACAATAACTCAGCAAAAACAATGTTAACCATATAAAGGATATTTGCCATCTGCATTTTAATTATAAGCTGTATTCCTCTTGAAGAATGGATCGCAGAGTCAGATTTATAATTTAATAATGGGTCACCATGCTAAAGACACACTCCAAGCACCAAAATAACTAGAACATCTGTAGTGGTTTTGGTGCCAGAAGTGCCCTGGTGCCCTCCCAACAACAGCGCGTTTTTTAAAAGTGTATATAGTCAGGAATTTCTTTATACAAAAAAGTTGTATTGTATTATTTGGTTTCCATTTCCTATTCTAACCTCATCTTCTGAAAATGTGTAACATTGGAGGTCTAGAATAACTATTGGTGGTGTATTGAGCTTTGTGTATTGTGAAAAAGATATGCTATATCACAAGTCTGTTCAATATCGTGTTTTGCAGTAATTTACCATTTTGCATTAAACGCTCCTCTAGGTTTGGCATCCATCCTGTTGCTGGCCGTATGCCTGGTCAACTGAACGTACTCCTGGCTGAAGCCGGTGTGCCATATGACATTGTGCTGGAGATGGATGAGATCAATGAAGATTTCCCTGGTAAGAGGTCTTAACAGAAATGTAAATTTTTGGGGTAAATCAATAAAGCTTTTGTTTTGTAAATTTTTTGGATTGCGAGAGCTCTCCACTATCATCCCCTGGCTTAACTTTGGGTCTAGGACTTGGTTCCAGAGTGTCGTATTTATTTATTGATTTATTTTCCCTAGACCAGGCATAGGCAACCTTTGGCACTGCAGATGTTTTGGACTACACCTTCCATGATGCTTTGCCAGCATTATGGGTGTAAGGGCATTATGGGGGATGTAGTCCACAACATCTGGAGTGCCGAAGTTGCCTATCCCTGCCCTAGACAATCGAACATTTAGTTAGTAAAAAATAAAGAGCATTTACACTAGTTTCCATTTCTGATTTTAGGCAGATTTGAAAAGAGATTTACTGAAATTGCTTTTGGTGCGGCTTTAGTCAGAATTTCTCTGTAATCCATGCAGGTTCATTTTAACAATTCCATGAGAGAACAGAGACATACCCTGCAGATTTTGCATTGCTGTGTTTACTTTCTAAGCAGCTGTTGCTGTTTTAGCGACTCAAAGAAATGCCATTTTCTATGGTTATTAAAACGCATTCGTAATACATTACAATTTTCTTGTATTTAAATAAGATTAGTGTTTCCTCACACCCCCTAGCAGATCTTCCACCTTCCTGTGATTTTTGATGTCATTTAGCGGTTATTGGGTATCAACTCCTAAAATAACTATTGGAGTTATAGCTTATTAGTTCGAGGGCTACTCGTAGCCAATTCTCTGGCAGAGCATCATGGGAAATTACAGTTCTCTATTTCTCCTGGAAAGCAATGTTTTGATGCTCAGTAAGCCTTTAAAGTACCTTGGAAGTTCTACATCAATAGCTTGTCTGACGTTATATATGATCAATATGCCCAACAAGCTTTGGAGTTACTTGAAATTTGTATCTGATTTAAAAAAAAAAAAAAAAATAATAATAATTTTTTAAAAACTTGTACTTGAATCTTTTCTCCTTTTCGTGTCCCTCCCATATTGCACCCCATGTGATATTGGGCAGGATAAAAGAAACATCCCATATATTGCATAAGTATGTCTAACTAGAAAGCTCCAAAATACTTCAATGCTAGATCATGTCATCATCTTTTTATTTCCTTAGAAACCGATCTTGTCTTGGTGATTGGTGCCAATGACACAGTTAACTCTGCAGCTCAAGAAGATCCCAATTCAATCATTGCTGGAATGCCAGTTCTGGAAGTGTGGAAGTCTAAGCAGGTAAGATACATGGACCCCGCTTGTAGAAACAAATGGGAAGGGCAAGAATATTCTTATAGAGAACAATGTCTGCAGAATCTTCAGATCGCTTTGTAGTCTCCAAATCTATGGTACAGAACCTTTTGTAATTTTTGGGGTTGCATTTTGTAATGTTCTGAAAGCTGTTCATATATCATGGCCAACCATACTGTTTGGGATTGTCTAACCTGTTTGATTGTCACCTCTCAGAAGTGACTGTTTGCCTTCTACATCTTTTATATCAATATGGAGGGGCTATTAATTATTGGTGTTCTCATTGTGACCCTACTTTTCTTTTGAAGATTATCGTAATGAAGAGATCACTTGGTGTTGGCTATGCAGCAGTAGACAATCCCATCTTCTACAAGCCCAACACTTCCATGCTTTTGGGAGATGCCAAGAAGACCTGTGATGCCCTCCAATCTAAAGTTCGGGAATCCTTCCAGAAATAGATGCTTCCTTGTGATTTTTCTACGAGTTACTTACTGGCCAGTGTTACAAACACCATTTTATAATAGAACATATTAGCCGTTACCCTGGAGCATGGGTGATGCATTGAATTACTGAAACAAACAGAATATGGGATATGGAGTTAAAAGCTGCTTGTGCTGGTTTGAATGAACAAAATCAATAGAATTTCAGAAACAAAAAATGTATGGTTCACTAGTTTTACATGAAAGCCATTCTGGCTTGGTATTTTGTATATTTCTACCCAGGTGTAATATTCATCATGACACACACTATAAATTTGGTATATAGGGTCTGTAAAAAAAGTCAAACCCTGAAAGTGGAGAACAATGTTTCTGTAAAATGTGCTTTTGTTTCGATCTTATTGCAGGTTGATTTTGCCAAACCAATCACATTTCAAAATTTCCTGATCCTATTATTTTCTTTTTCTTCCCCATCTTCAAGCATCATGCGTGAGCTCTCTTAATAATTCCTTGCATTACAACTCTGCATTACCTACTCGAAGTACAATTTAGACTGCTCATCCGGTTATCCATATTGTATTAATGTGACATCATACTTGTATTTCATGAGATCACGCAAGTATCAGATATTCTATTCATTCTGAAGACTCTGGAACAAAACATTTGCATCAACCTTTTAATGAAATATAGCTATTATACGGGAAGAAAAAAAACCTTTAGACATATTTTTCTATCAGGTTTTTGAATATGTAATCTGATACAAACACTCTTCAAAATGTATTATTTAGAAACTGCTTGTTCAAACACATAAGCATGTTCCAAAATTGAAATCATGAAGCAAAGTATTTAAAATGTTGTAGTAATGATGTGGAGCACATACATCCACTAATTAGCAATCTTTCTATTGTTCTGTAATCCATAAATAGGACAATCAAGCAAAAGTTATTTTCTACATAACCTAGAAAGTCCAAATAAAACTTGACTTTTAGATATCTCACAACCTTAGTTAGTGCAGAGTCCGTAATCGATATTGGATTTTGAACGAAAACCAGAAATGCTTAAAGAACGGACACGACTCGACTGATCTTGTTACAGGTATTTTGCTCGTCAGGAGAATTTTGCAGTAAACCTAGTCAATCAAAACTAAAATACATAATTTATTTAATACCTTACTATGGTCTTAGTCCTTTCATTGTGACACAGAAAAGAAATGTGAATTTGATAGCTATATGAACAATATTAGAAGATTGCCTACCTAAATGTGAACACTGTCCAGTTTGTGATTATTTCAGTGTATTCGTGCCAGCAAATGCAAAACCTTTGCATAGACTGTTAGACAACTATGTAGATACAAATGTATTAAACTTCTCAGGTCCTTACTTTTAAGATATATAGTATACTTAATACTATAATAAAGACAATAATAAACTATTCAGGCTATCCGTTTAATGAGCTTTTGTTTTCTTGTATAGGATTAAAAATATAATATTGTGCAGTCAGAATCTGGCTGGGTTATTCATTTTTGAAAAAAAAAAAATTTTTTAGCAGGACTATAACGCCACGCATTTTCATTAATGGCCTCTAATCCATTTACAAGTGGTAATTTGTGTCATCCATTTTCTAGTTTGTTTCAGAGTGATAGACCTATTGCACTGGCTTAGTGTACCATACAGATAGGAGCTTTTCTTTTGAAGTGGTTCATCTTAATGTGGTAGATCGGGATGGTTAACCTCTGAAGTGATGGGCGACCATTGCATTTATTTTTTTCTTTGCATATTCATCCGGCACTAAAGGGATTAATTGTGTAATTGTTTTTATATATGTACCATCCCAATGAGATCTATTAAAGGAGTCAGCTTAACTATATTGAGGTGTGTGTGTGTTTCTTTGTTTTTGTTTTTCCGTTTTTCCTCAGGTGCTACTATAAAATGAATGTTGCACTCCTGATTCTTAAGGTAAACAACTCAAGTGCATTTTGTTTTTGTTTTTTCTTTCTTTCTCCCCATTTAAATCTTATTGGCTAAAAATACACATTTGCAGCATAACTCACCACCTTAGCTACACCTACCTTTTTCACAAAACATACCTGGACAGCACAGCCAATAAGAAGCCAGTGTAAGATGAGCTACTGGCTTGATGACTGAAAGCCAATCACTGTCCTGTTCTTGGCTGTATAATATATAAAAGCTATACTAATGGGGGAAGTCGACAGATAACACTACAATGACTCGCTGTGGGGCGGAGATATGTCAACAGATGAGCTCACAATCGATCTCTTAGCTACCATCCAGCTCCCTGGCTAATCTGAGTACGTACTCTGTATATGTATAATAAGAAAGTTGCTTTTTGAAAAAGGGGTGTGGCCAGGTAAGCGTTGCATCACAATTCTAATTGACAGTCTGTGAAATTACAGCAATATGTTTAAAGATTCTGTTTCTAAACTGTATGAATCCTCCATGGCACATTCTCGTGCAGAATGTATTTATTTTTATTCTGCAAATTTGCATAGGAATAAAACATTTTTGACATACAGTAAACTACTATATGAGGTATGCCCTAATAGGCCTGTTACATGATGCATACCATTACATACTCCTATTATTGACTCAAATGCAGCCAGTATGGGTATTTTAACTATGGATTCAAAGCAAGGGGTTATGGGATTTGTACAGCAGTCCACCAATTATGTAGCTTTTACTTAGCACCCTTCCTTGGAAGTCGGAGACCTTCTAGGGTTGAGGGTAGCAGTAATTTTTTTTGTCTTTTCTCTGTAGCATGTGCTTATCTTTTTTACGTTGCATATTAAATTCAGGTAAGATTTATTTATTATTTTTTTGGGAAGCTTTAATATGCAACAAACATTTGCCTGGTATTGGAAGCTAAATATCGAACTGAGACCTTAGAAATAAGGGTAATATATTTTGGATAAAACAAAGTTTACAGCAAGGTATTTAATTTCAAGTGAATGCTTTTTGGTTTTTTTTTTGTGAAAAGTCTGTTTGAAGTGATGAAATCTAAGCCCTCTGTTACTCTAAAATCTGTTTTATAATAATTTTAGGCAGCACTTAAAGGGACATGAATCCCATTAAGACCACTGTCTTATTCAAAGGTTTTGGATTTCTATGAGACCATTTCATCGCTCTACAGACGGAAAAAGCAGGTAGATGTACTTTTTTTCATTTTTGCCTGCTGCTTCTTTCTTGTGTATTCCACACTCAGTCCAGAGGGGGGCACTGATCTAACCAATCAGTGTCTTATCCCTAGGAATGCTCGAAAAGGGCTTTGAGCTTGCCTGACAGATTTACACATGTGCAGTTGAAAGATCTCTTGACCTTGCAACATCCTGACGGGGGAAAGACCGGCAGACTGATCAGTGTAATTCATGCAGAGCAGGCTCTGGTGTCTGATGTTTTCCCCCTGCCTTGTTTCTCTCATTAGTGGACTGGTCTGAAACTGAGATGGGTTGGTAAGTGTGATAAGTTTATAGTAAGTTTAGAAACATTTATTCCTTGCTTTAATTTTGTTTGCATTTGTTTACATTTGTTTGCTTGCTGGTTAAAAAAATGTAATAAAAAATTGTGGTATACCTGGTTAATGATGCATGCCCCTTAAAATATAAGTGGCATAATAAATATAATGGTAGTGTACCTGTCAAGAGGTTTAGTAAAACAAAAGTATGAGCAATTTATTTATGAAGTATGAAACATACAATCAGTCAGTCTTAGTCGTCTGCTGAGATTTGAGTAATAGGGAGAGCAGGAGAACCTTTACCAAAGCATTCTTGTCCTCTTCTTGATAGCAGTTGCAGCATATGTTCTATAGTGTTCCCAAACAGGAATATTTGCATAGGAGTAGTGGAACACTGTCAGAAGCAACTGCAAATTTAGCAATACCTAATATCACTTACAGCAATTAAGAATATGATTTCTGTGTGATAAATTATGTATTGAATGTTAAAAGAGACATTATAAGTTAATGAACTGGTCCCTGTTAAATATCCAGACAAGCAACTGTATGGGTAGATTAATTGTTTGGTTGCACATAAGAAAACAAAACAAACGTGATTTAAATCACAAACGTGATTTAACTTCTAAATGACTGAGAATTGAGTAGTGAGACTGCAAGAACATGATCTTTACACCAAAACGGCTTCATTAAGCCAAAGGTTTGGTGTTTAGAGTATCCCTTTAAGGCAAGTAATGCTTATAGTGCAAGTATTAACTATTAAAAAATGTTCATTGTGGTGTAGAATTCTGAACACATGACGGAATGTTTAAATGGGTGAGACAAATTTTTAACTTGATCCGAAAAATAGTGCATTATTGGTAGGGAACAGATACAAACTTCAACCCAAAGAAGGACATTCACTCACTGCCTAAAAATGTTTAATTGGACCACTCGTGCTCTGAATAGCTGCACTTCAACGTAATATGTGTGGCAGATCTTCTAGCCAACCGTTCCAATGTTAAATGTTATTGCCAAGTATACAAATTAAAGCGGACTGGTTGTCTTCATACATACTTTTCAGAAAATGTTATCATTCACAAGGTAATGTATCCTCTGTCGTGTATGACTCACCTAGGTAAAATTTAATTTAAAAAAAATACTCCTATGTCTTATACCAGGTTAATGACCTATTTCTTAAATATAACACTTTAGGCACCATAAACACTTAAGCTAATTGAAGTTATGTTGTCTGGAGTCCTCTAGTGCTGTCTTACTATTCAAACCTGATGGTGAAATAAAAGAGGAAATCTGAAGCATTTTAATGAAAACAAGTTGTTTTTGCTAATCTATTTTTCTATGAATGGGCACAAACAAAACTCAAGGTCTCCAGCACACATTTCATCAAACCTGTGTGCAGAACACTTTATAATCAAATAACTAGATCTGGTTGAGGTCAGGATATCAGTGGGCAATAACCACAATGAATAAATCCGGTTACAACAGGAAGAACTAATGGAGTAAATACTATCAATGTAGGAATCACGTAAAAGTAGGGACCCTGGCTTAAAGTAACTACCGAATATAAGCCGAGTTTTTCGGCACATTTTTTGTGCTGAAAACCCCCACTCGGCTTATACTCGAGTCAGTCTGTATTATGGCAATTTACATTGCCACAATACAGACCAGGACCGCCGGGCTCATTACAAGCCCGGCGGTCCTGTTGGGGGCTGGTAGCGAGCTGTTACTTACCTTCCTGCAGCTCCTGTCAGCTCCCTTCTCCTCCGCGCAGCTCCTCTGTCAGCTCCGTTCTGCTTACAGTGTAAGTCTCGCGAGACTTACACTGTAAGCAGAACGGAGCTGACAGAGGAGCTGCGCGGAGGAGAAGGGAGCTGACAGGAGCTGCAGGAAGGTAAGTAACAGCTCTCTGTCAGCCCCCCCACTGAACAGCCAATGCCACTGGACCACCAGGGATTCAGTATTATTATTTTAATATTTTATTTTAATAATATTATTTTATTATTATATTTATTTGCATTATTTTTTTATTTTATTTTTTTTGTCCCCCCTCCCTGGCCAGGCAACAAGCAGGGAGGGGGGACAAAAAACCATTTAAACAAAAAAAGTAATTATATTATTATTTTAATATTTGCATTTTTTTTCCCCCTCCCTGGCCAGGCAACAAGCAGGGAGGGGGGGGGACAAAAAAACATTTTAAAATAATATTATTAAAATAATATAATATTAACAATTTTTTAAATAAAAATGCCCTCCCCTCACCCAGTTTACACACACTGCATTATATACACACAACACACAAACACTGCATTCATTATATATACACACACACACTCTGCATTCATTATATACACACACAAACACACACTCTGCATTCATTCTATACACACACACTGTAAATAAATATTCAATTAATGTAATTTTATTGGGATCTACTGGTAATTTTATTTAAAAATTTACCAGTAGCTGCTGCATTTCCCACCCTAGGCTTATACTCGAGTCAATAAGTTTTCCCAGTTTTTTGTGGTAAAATTAGGGGCCTTGGCTTATATTCGGGTCAGCTTATACTCGAGTATATACGGTATATGTAGCTGTGTGAACTTTGAAATGCTAAATAATGTGCAAAGTGTGTTACGTGGTCGCAATTGGAACTTCCTTGTTATGGTACATGCTTAAAGATGGTGCTCTGGAAGATTCATTGATGTCAGCATCATTAGAGAGCCTAGTACGAGTGCATTACCCAACATCACACAGCTGTTTGCTTGGTCGAGGATCTAGGCTTTGGTTATGGTGCCTTACTATAGGATAACGTGACCCACAACTGTTCTTTCTTCGCTCTTTCATTTGTTTTGATATTAACACCTCGCAGTAGTTGAGTTTTGCCAATATGTTCTAGCTCAAGTACAAAATATTCAGTTCTGGTGTTTCCCCAAGTACCTGTATGGAAATGTTAGGATTAAAACCATAATAGAAGTCATCCCTTTTTTTTTTTTTTTTTAAAACAAATGTTTGTGATACAGTTTGTGGCGAAAGTAACCTCGCCACTTGTACTTGGAGAGGCCTACTTGCCAGCCTCTTGCCCCAGGATTATGGACCCTGCAAAAAGACATGTTAAAAAGTGACTTCCATGGAAAAACCAAACCACTGAACCGATCTGAGTGATTTTGGAATATGTTGGTCACCCAGATCAGGGCTATCCTAGGGTGGGGTTTCCATTAATCTTGGGGGTACTTTTGGGGTGTTTGTAAATTGTGTGTCTTTCTGTACCTGGAGATACAGAGGAGGAGTATGTTGAATGTATTGCTTGCCTTTGCCTCTTCCCCTCCCCTTTTTTCCTGTCCTATTGTTTCCCCAACAGTGCTTTGTCCCAGGGACACTGCCAGACCAGTTCGAACTGGCTGCACTGTCCCTTCTCAATCTCCCATCAGCCCTTGCTATTGTCTGACCCCACCCTTTCTTGTACTATAGTAATCTATGTAACCTATTGTATGTAAATGAGGCTGTTGGGGGTTTAAATGTGTGTATAAATTGCAAGTGCTTTCTTTTGCATTAAACAGACCTGCTTGACCCTTTCTTGAAGCCTTGGCTCATGCTTGGAGGATGGGATAGCTACACTCTTGGAGATTGCTATATTCACACTATACTCCCCAAGGTAAGCTCTTGGAAGAGCTTGTTCCTGATACGCTCTCTGGATTAGTCTACCCACTGGAAGCTGGATCTTGGCCTTGGGTCCAGGGTGGGTGGAGGAAAGTGAGACCCCGGCGCAGCTGCATCGCTGGAAGTGGGGTCTGCAGTACTTATGGTGTCTGGTGGAGTGCTTGGAGTCCTCGGCAAGCACTAGGAGCATCGATTGGCGGAGGTACTCAGTCGGGGTGCCAGCGGTCCGTCACATTTGGTGGCAAGCTGTAGGATGGCGTCCTAGTGTGAGGAGAAGCAGCTTGGAGACACCGGTAACGTGGTGATTATAGTGAGGGCAACGCTAGCATTAGTGCAGCGCCCCTGGGAGCAGAGGTATCCAGTGACTTGGAGCAGACAGGTATGGAATGCTCTGACTCTGACTACGATTGGCTGGCCGAGGTGAGGCAGCGAGTGGCCTGGTATGGTCCTAATGTGTCCATGTATCCAGGTCACAGTCAAGCGACAAGCAAAGAAGGACCGAGAATTCTGGCTGGCGAAAGAGAGGAAAAATCTCCAGCGGAAGGAGGTTTACAGCAGCCAAATAGACTCTGCATCCGAAGATGTTAGCCGCTTTCCCCTGAGGCGGCCAGAGGTACCCAAAGTAGGGGTCCTCATAGACTGGTCCTTGGAACCCCAACAGGCAAGTGGAGATGGGACCGAGGTCTCTCCACCGGGCCCACCGGAATGCTAGGCAGCCGGCCCAGATCCCTAGCAACAGCCGGAGTTACCGGGTGCGGAGGCAGGTGGTCCTTATTCTCATATGTTGAGGGACCTCATAGACTGGTCCTGGGAAGACCCACAGATGGCAGGCGGAGATGGGGCTGAGGGGTCTCTACCGGTCCAACAGGGATGCTGGGCAGCTGGCCCAGATCCCCTGCAGCAACCAGCATCACTGAAAGGGGAGATGGTCTCTCCCACTACACAGCACCAAGCAGCGTATCCGGGAGTCGAGACAGTCGGTCTGACTCCCTAGCTACAGGGAGAGGAGACAACCGATCTCCCTTCCCAGCGACAGTGTACCTTGCAGGGAGAGGAGGCCACCGGTCTCACTTCCTAGCGACATAGTGTATAATTGGGAGAGGAGACAGTCTGTCTCTCTCCCCAGCAGCCGAGTGTGTTACAGGGAGTGGAGACAACCAATCTCACTCCCCAGCGGCAGTGTACCTTGCAGGGAGTGGAGACAACCGATCTCACTCCCCAGCGGCAGAGTGTATCATTGGGAGAGGAGACAGTCAGTCTCTCTCCCCAACAGCCGAGTGTGTTACAGGGAGTGGAGACAACCAATCTCACTCCCCAGCGGCAGTGGGAGCTACCGGGAGAGGTCTGCCTCCCCGACCAAAGGGGACCACAGCCATAACCCCGATGGTGCAGATGGGACCGCGGTCTCTGCACCAGACCTACAGGAATGCTGGACGGCCGATCCAGATCCCCAACCAACCCCACAGGAATCCCTGGAGTAAGAGGTAAGCGATCCCTCCTCCTCTCAGCCAATCCACAACCCAGTTCTGGGGGTAGTGCTCGCTGACCCCATCCCAGCAGAAGAGCTGGCATCTGGGCAGAGCGCAGGTAGCCTCTGCCCTCCCTTTTCCCCTTGTCCAGAGCCTGACTTCCTGCAGGCTACCCCAGAAGAAGTGCTGGCATCAGGGCAGAGTGCAGCTTGCCTCTGCCCACCAAATATTCCCAGCTCCCTGCCTAGGAACACCAGGGAGTTCAAGGGTGCTGAACAGTTTAAACTGGCTGCTCTGTCCCTCCTCAATCTCTCTATTGTCTGACCCCACCCTTCCTTGTACTATAGTAATCTATGTAACCTATTGTATATAAACGGCTGTTGGGGGTTTAAATGTGTGTATAAATTGTAAGTGCTTGCTTTTGCTTTAAACAGACCTGCTTGACCCTTTCTTGAAGCCTTGGCTCATGCTTGGGGGATGGGGTAACTACACTCTTGAGGATTGCTATCTTCACATTATACTCCCCAGGGTAAGCTCTTGGAAGAGCTTGTTCCTGATACGCTCTCTGGATTAGGAGAGGTCTGCCCACTGGAAGCTAGATCCTTGCCTTGGGTCCAGGGTGGGTGGAGGAAGCAGAGACCCCGGCACAGCTGCATCGCTGGAAGTGGGGTCTGCAGTACTTATGGTGTCTGGTGGAGTGCTTGGAGTCCTCGGCAAGCACTAGGAGCATCGATTGGCGGAGGTACCTGGTCGGAGTATCAGCGGTCCGTCACATAGTTTCACTGGGTTAAAATTGTGAAGCATTTGATCTTATGTACATAATTCCCATATATTGATTTGTTCAAAGCAAAAGGAAATGAAAATTCCATTTTAAGTAGGTGTTTTGTAAAAATAATGTGAGCCTTTAATATCCTCGCAGTAAACAAATGTTTCAAAGGATTTTATTCCCAGAAATCATACCTATACATTTTCTAAATTGTTCACCCATCCTCTTTAATTTGGTTTTGTTTGAAGTAATTATACTCTTGTGGCTGCCGTGATCACCCTGAGGATACAGGAAAAAATAATAATTACCAGATTGGAATTGAATTAAATAGAAACGCAACATTCACTTTAAATTGTGGACCAAAATGTAGTTTTGAATTTACCAAGAGATTTTGCACTTATGCTGCGTTGTACAGTATATACCATAGGTACTTTGAACAGAACCAGCAGAACAGAGATTGCAGAACCCTTTCCAACATGATGTGCAGAGGTTTGGCAAAAGATAAGGTCCAAAATAAGGAGTAAAAGTAACCAAAGCTATGTCTTTTTTAAGCTAGTGTAGATTCCCACGTCATACTCAGAATAGACCAATTAAAATGCAACAGAGGGAACTATAGTGTAAGGAATACATATAGAATCCATTTAATGCTGTATCATAATGTGTTCCTTTTCCTTGAACCGCCTGAGGAAGGAGGCAATTGTCCAATTTCTGAACCAAAACAAACCTAGAATTTAGGTTTGTGTTTGTTCCACCGTAATTTCAGGGGATCTCTAAGTTAAGGGCTCCCATACATATTATATATTAATTTAAAGAACAAAAAGGGGTTTTATTTAATGAGATATATACAAACATTAAGTGTGAATAAAATGTTAAAAATTGGGGGGGCAAAATGTAAACGAGAGGGAAAGAGCAAGGGAGGACAGGCTCAAGCCACAGAGACACACATGGAGGAGCTTACACAGCAAATTCAGCAAATGCAAAGAGCTATGGCCGCCATGGAATCTCGGCACAGACCAGAGGAGGTCAGTGGGGAGGAACTACTGCCCTATACCCAGAGGCTGTTCATATATATATATGGGCCTTAAGGGAGTAGAAGACCCATACATGCTGCGATCAGCATTCCACATCCGAAAGGCCACCACAGCCCCAGTTATCTAGGGCAATGGGAAGTATCAAGTTCGAAAATAGTGAGATGACACTGTATGGAGATATACCCTTTGTGGTTCTTGCAGAAAAGCGCAAGCTGGCGCCAGTTGCTACAATATTGAGAGACTGTTCAGTCCGATACAGATGGGGCACTGATGGAGCCATGCTGGTCCCACATAGAGACAAGACACTCACATCAGACAAACAGCCAGAGACACTATGGGAAAACCTGTGGCTACCGACCTCGAACCTGACTGTGCCAACTACTACGAAGCATACCACAGTGGCTAGGAAAGACCCAGAAGAAGGCACCTCAGGGGCACGGACTGGACCACAAGCACTCAGGAGAATAAGACCATGACAAGGGGATTATTAAATGCGACCACATAAGACTGTCCTCACCACTACTAGTTACAACAAACCCCCTGCTGTCTTCTCTAGATCGGCTCCCTAACCCATCAAGACATACCCATTAAATATACAGATGACTCCCACATAACACTTATGCTATAGTGTCTATCACAAAATATGCCTTTAATCCGTATGTAATGCTGCTTAGCACATTATGCCACCTATGTTGTCTGAATGTTACCTATATTGATTTACTTGTATTACCAGTTACTGATACCATTGTATACAGGTGTATTCAAAACCAATAAAACACAAATTAAAAAAAAAAAAACAACAATTGGGGAGTGTTTTTTATTTTTTGCTTATAATAGTTTTTGGATTCTAGATGGACACCTAGTTAGCAATGATCTGTGGTCAAGGAAGGGTTGGAGTAATTATTCAGTATATATTTATTTTTTATTCTTTTTACAATCCTTATTTTTCCTTATTTTTGCGGTTAATAGAGTAGTATATAGACTTACAAAAACTTCACAAATAAAAATACCACAAAACAGAATTTTAGACATAGCATGAAATGTTGAAGTTACATAGAAACATAGAAACATAGAAACATAGAATGTGACGGCAGTTAAGAACCATTCGGCCCATCTAGTCTGCCCAATTTTCTAAAAACTTTCATTAGTCCCTAGCCTTATCTTATAGTTAGGATAGCCTTATGCCTATCCCATGCATGCTTAAACTCCTTTACTGTGTTAACCTCTACCACTTCAGCTGGAAGGCTATTCCATGCATCCACTACTCTCTCAGTAAAGTAATACTTCCTGATATTATTTTTAAACCTTTGTCCCTCTAATTTAAGACTATATCCTCTTGTTGTGGTAGTTTTTCTTCTTTTAAATATAGTCTCCTCCTTTACTGTGTTGATTCCCTTTATATATTTAAATGTTTCTATCATATCCCCCCTGTCTTACTTAGTTAAGTTACTTTACCATTTATATAGATATATAGAAAAGATGACTGAAGCACAATCCCATTAAATTAAACTAAAAGAAAGTGAGATATGCTAGAGAATGGAACTGTAGAATTTCTAAGAACAAATCTCACTGGACAATGAAATGGGCTACTGCAGGTGATTAAGGAAAAACACAAAATCATAGCAGAATGACTAACACACGGCAAACATTCACAGTAAGGACAATACTAAAACAGCATGGCTGTAGCTAAGGTCTGCAGACGATTCAACCAATGCCCAAGGATGGTGAGTCCCAGATTCCACCTCTTTCAGCCTTTCTAAGGAGATCTCTCCACCTGGCCCAGGCTGCTCGGTATTTAAGCATAGCTTTCGACAGGGTAGTGACCAGGGCTCACTGGTGAGGCCTTCCACATGTGTACGCCGGCCCCAGTAGTATAGCCATGTTTGTTCTTAGGCCTCAGCTCCAATATAAAAGCAGGATTAAGTAAGCAAAAGGATTGTCAAAGTTTAGTTTGCAGCTATTAAGACTGAAGAATTCTTGGAGGAGCTTCAGCACCTCGACCATTTCAGTCGGCAGTCAAGCTTTGCCCCCTTTACATATATATGCTCCCACCTGTCACATGGCAGGTGGGGGATAGGGAGGTTTTTAACCTTTCTTATAACCCCATTATATTTTTGTACTCAAAGTCATTCGTCATATTTTGAGCTGTGAGCATGATGCTTTGGCATGGCCGGCCTTAGGCCTTTAGGTGCCCTGTGCGAAAAATCTTCACAGCCCCCTCCCCCCCGTCATCCATGTATGATGTAATGTTTGTGTTGTCTGTGTATGTGATAGGTGTGAT